TATATCTATATATTATATTTATATATTGAGAAGAGAAAGAGAGAGGAATAGATAACTTGATTGATGATTAGAAATGTTTGAATAACAAATCTATTTATACTAGATAAGATAATTCAAATGCTAAAATAAAGGAGTTAATGCTCCATGTAAAGCTAACATCATGGCCATGTACTGCACCTATAATTACTCCCATTATTTTTAACCAATTAACTAACTACTTGGTTTAATATTACTACTAATAATAATAATAATATTATTATTATTATTATAACATTGCCTCCTTTAAACCAAGTTGAATATATTGGTCATCCCAATATCCTTCTTCAATTTAAAAAATGTCTCTGTCTTCAACGGCTTCGTAAAAATATCTGCAACTTGACACTCACTCGAACAATACTCAATGTTGATTTATTTTTCAGCAACCAGTTCTCTGATTTTGTGATACTTGATATCAATGTGTTTACTGCGACCATGAAAGACAGGATTCTTGGACAACGAAATTGCTGACTTGTTGTCACAAAAAATAGTTGTTGGTGCTTCCTGCTTGTGTTGTAAGAACTCCAAAATTCTCCTCAACCAAACTGCTTGAGTAGCACAGTTTGCTGCTGCAATATATTCTGCTTCTGCGGTTGAAAGTGCTACAATCTGCTGCTTCTTTGAAGACCAAGAAAATATGGCTGAACCAAGATAGAAGGCATATCCTGATGTGCTTTTTCTGGTCTCAATATCTCCAGCCCAATCATTGTCTGTATACCCAACAAGTTCCACTACTTCATTAGTAGAGTAAAAAATTCCATCATTACTCGTACCTTTGACATATCTCAGAATTCGCTTTGCTGCAGCCCAATGTGATTCTTTTGGTTCCTCCATGAATCTGCTAAGTATCAAGTATCCCAACTCCAAAAGAAATATCTGGCCTTGTTGCCACCAGATACCTCAGACTTCCAATTAAGCTTTTATAAGACGTAACATTCACATTCTTACCACACTCATCTTTGGACACCTTTAACTTTTCAGCTACCGGAGTTGAAGCTGGTTTGGAGTTTTCCATTTTGAACTTTTTCAAAATATCAGCAGCATACTTCTTTTGTGAAATAAAGATTCCACCATCCATCTGAACAACCTCAAGGCCAAGAAAGTAAGACATAAGGCCCATATCGGTCATTTCAAACCTCTTAATGAGTGCCTCCCTGAATTCTGAGATTAACTTCAAGTTATTTCCAGTAAAAACCAGATCATCAACATACAGACAGATTAGAACAATATCACCAGAATCCGTGCATTTGACATACAAAGTGTGTTCATGAGGACATCTCATAAAACCACTTTCAACAAAATATGAATCAATGCAACCATACCACGCCCTAGGCGCTTGCTTTAAGCCATACAAAGCTTTTCTCAACCTGTACACTTTATTTTCCTCCCCTTTCTTCAGAAATCCTGCAGGTTGTTCAACATATATTTCTTCTTCAAGAAAACCATTCAAAAAAGCAGACTTGACATCCATTTGATGCAATTTCCAATCATTTTGAGCAGCAAGAGAAATAACCATTCGAACTGTATCAAGTCTACTTACAGGAGCAAAAACCTCAAAATAATCAATACCTGGTTTTTGCTTGTAACCCTTTGCTACTAACCGTGCCTTAAAACGGTCAATCTCTCCATTTGACTTGTACTTCGTTCTGTAAACCCACTTCACTCCAATTGGCTTCTTTCCAGGAGGTAAATCTGTTAACTCCCAGGTACCATTCTTCTCAATGGCACGTATCTCCTCATCCATCGCCTTAAGCCAATGAGTTTCTGTAGCAGCCTCCTCAAAAGTTAAAGGATCACAATCTGCAAAGAGAGCAAATTGAACAATCTCTTCATCAGACAGGTCATTATCATGACCCAAAACATAATCTTGCAAGCGAGCTGGTAAGTGGCGCTCGCGCTGAGATCGCCGAACTGACGATTCTGGCTGTGAAGGAGACTGGACATTATCTGGAATCGGTTGCTCTTCAACAATATTTTCAACAACAGGAATAACAACTGAACTTTCATCTTTAGCTAACCAATCCCAAGCACTATATTCATCAAAAGTGACATCACGACTTATAACAACCTTTTTAGTTTCAGGATTGTATAGTTTATAAGCCTTTGAAGCGTCACTATAACCAATGAATATGCATTTCTCACCTTTATCATCCAACTTCTTTCTCAATGGATCTGGCACATGTGCATATGCCAAACATCCAAAAACCTTGAGATATTTGATAGAGGGTTTTCTCCCACTCCAAGCTTCTTCGGGCGTCTTATCACGGACACTTTTAGTTGGACACCTATTCAACACATAGACAGCACAAGCAACAGCTTCTGCCCAAAAAGGTTTAGGCAGATCCTTGGATTTCAACATGCACCTTACCATATCCATGATAGACCTATTCTTCCTCTCAGCCACTCCGTTTTGTTGTGGAGTGTATCTAGCTGTCATTTGGTGCTGAATACCCTTTTCTTTCAGAAAATTATCACAAGCAATATATTCTGTACCTCTATCAGTTCTCAAGATTTTAATCTCATAACCACTTTGCTTTTCAACAAAAGCCTTAAATTGTTTGAAAACATCACATGCTTCAGACTTTCGCTTCAGAAAGTAAACCCATGTTTTCCTACTGAAATCATCAATGAAAGTAATAAAGTACTTACAACCTCCATGTGAGGGAACCTCCAACGAACATAGGTCTGAGTGAATAATCTCCAACTGTTTTGTAGCTCTCCTTGACTTGCCCACGGGAAAGGGATCTCTATGCTTCTTCCCAATCACACAAATCTCACAGATACGATCAGGGACATTCACAACAGGTAAATCAGAAACAAGTTCCTTTCTCGCAAGATAGTTTAATCCAGAGAAATGAAAATGCCCAAACCGCATATGCCATAACCAATTATCATCACAAACTTCAGAATTAAAGCAATCAAGGAGAGTATGCTTAATTTTCAAAGGAAATAGTCGATTTTGGGACATATTTACCTTTGCAATCAAAACTCCTTTGGCATCTTCAATGGTACAACACCCCTGAGCAATATGTATCTTATATCCTTTTTCTGACAACTGACCCATACTCAACAAATTTTGGTGTAGTTCAGGAACATAGAACACATCGGATATAAAATTGTGAGTACCATCCTTCAACTGAATAGAGATTTTACCTTTTCCCAAAATTTGCACCTTTGACTTATTGCCAAACGTTACTTCAGACCGGACTGATTCATCTAGTTCGGAAAACAATTCTTTCTTCCCACACATATGGTTACTACACCCAGTATCCAAGAACCATATGTTCTTATCAGCAGAAAAACTATCACTGGCCAAAAGTAAGGTTTCAGAATTTTCACCAGACTTTTCAGCAGTATTTTCAGCAATGTTTGCTTGATTTCCACGATTGTTGTCCTCATTATACCAACAATCTGCAATCTTGTGCCCATACTTGCCACAATTGTAGCAATGAAATGGAAATTTACCTTGTTTGGTATTACCTCCACCTCTTCCTTGGTTGGAGTTACCACGTCCTCCTCCTTGGTTGAAGTTACCACGACCTCTTCCACTAGAACCTCCTCTTCCTCTTCCACGACCTCTACCAGATCCTCCACCTCTTTGATTAGTGCCAGCCAAATTAAGGGTGACTTGACTCTTCAAAGCTTCTTCTGCTAGTGGTTCCGATTTTGACGCAATCCTGTCAATATGACTTTCTACCATACCTTTCAGCTCTGCAATTGATAAGAGCTCAGTTTTGTGTGACTATGTTATTGAAGCCACCACATGGTCATACTTCATGGCATAGTTCGAAGAACTTTTTCAACCACTGCACCATCTTCAATCGTATCTCCATATAGCCTCATCTTATTCACCATATCAATAAGACGAGTGAAATACGCATCTACTGTTTCTGTAGAGGTCATCTCACAATTATCGTACAACCTTCTCAACGACTGCAACTTAGACTTCTGTGCCCGATCGACTCCTTTGTGTGACACCTTTAAGATGTCCCAAGCTTGTTTTGCTGTTTGAGCACGAGCTAATTGCCCAAAAATGGAATAATGAACACCTTGGTGAATCTGACCCAAGGCCAATTTATCTCGCCGTATAGCACCTGCTTCAGCTCCTTCGGGTAGACCGGGATCAACAAAGCTCCAAAGATTTTGAGCTTGCAAATGTGTGGACATCATAATTTGCCAATAATTGTAATCGAGTTTCTCGTCCAATTTGGGACCCGTCCATATAATATTGAAATTTGCAGCCATATTTCACTACGAACAATATCTCGGGGTTGAAAGGTTGACTGGCTTTGATACCAAATGTTAGATATATTAAATATAATATATTTAATATAATATATATTAAATATAATATAATATATCTATAATATATATTAAATATAATATATCTATATATTATATTTATATATTGAGAAGAGAAAGAGAGAGGAATAGATAACTTGATTGATGATTAGAAATGCTTGAATAACAAATCTATTTATACTATATAAGATAATTCAAATGCTAAAATAAAGGAGTTAATGCTCCATGTAAAGCTAACATCATGGCCATGTACTGCACCTATAATTACTCCCATTATTTTTAACCAATTAACTAACTACTTGGTTTAATATTACTACTAATAATAATAATAATAATAATAATATTATTATTATTATTATAACAGTCCTTCTTTAATAAACACCTTCCTTTATCCATTTCCATGGCAGAAATCATATTTTCACTATATTTACACAACATCACCACATTAACATGCTTAAAACATCGAATACAATAATCTAATATATGATATTCTCATACTCAACCCACTACCAAAATTCTCTTACAAATCATCACTCTAAATTATTGATTTATTTTATTTTATTTTTTAATCTCCATAACGAAGTAGCGAACAGTAATAAACAAAATTTGAATTTTCTTTTTAACCCGTGTAAACTATAAGTTAATAATTAGTAAAAAAATAATAAAGTCACGTTAACAACACTGTCGAGTGTTGATTCTATTTAAATACATTATTCAACACTTCATTAAAAAAAATTCAAACTAAAAAAAAAAAAAAAAACTCGCTAATAAAAAATACAAACCTTGTCCGCTTACACAAAAAGTATAATACATATAATAATATTTAAAAAGTATGGTCCTCCTATAAGTTCATTTTACTTGTTTCAGTGAATATATAATAAAAGGCTTGAAAGTACCCACCACCTTCTTGAAAGCGCAAGCCAGTCTTTCAACGCCGTTGCTGGCGGCGGAATTACCGGAAAACACCGTTCCATCATTTCCGGCGAGAACCCTGTACTTGTCTTTCCTCGTAAAATTAGTGCACTCGAACCCTAACGTGGCGGCCAAGATCATCTGCACGTAGTTAGCGACATCGTAGGGGCTTTTCCCCGACGAGCACGTGGCTTCCGCCGGCAACTGGTTCAAAAACGTGACCTCGTAAACCGGTCTAGGGTTCATGAAGAAGAAGATGGGGTCCATGCCTTTCCATCCCCTCGCGGTGGTTGCGTGGAAGAACCCGACCCGAGTGTTCATGGCGACGGGGACGATCCGGTCGGTTAATTCGGCGAAAAGTGCGCTGAATCGTAACAGAAACGGTTCTCTGCAAGTGGTCCCTTCGGGGCAAACGACGACGTCTCCTTTCTCGAGCTCGTGCGTGATCATCTCGGCGTCGAGGTCGCGGCTGCGCGTCAGCCGGAGAGTGGGGATCGGCGAGAGGATTTCGGATAATCGCGAAATGGAGTAGGTCACGGCCGGGATTTTGCGCTGGAGAACGGCGGAGAGAACCACGGGATCCATTAGTGTTCGGTGGGTGCAGACGAAGAGCACGCCGGATCCGGAGCCGGAGCCGGCCGCCACCGCCGGCAGCGGCGGCTTGCCTTTCACTATGACTTCGCCTCCTAACAACGGAGCTATGATAGGCATGATCCATATGGGGAGAAGTAGCCCTAATCCAATACGAACAGCCGCCAGTAGAATCCCAATCGGTATCCATACTAGGATCATCAGCGCCGTCCCCGGTGTCGGCCGCTTTGCCAGGCGGCCGTCGTGGAAGATCACCGGTAGCGGCTTTATTAATTCCCCGCCATTCTTCTTGCCACTCATAAATGGCGGATGCAACTCTTCCTGCTCATCATAATTACACAAATAATATATAAATCAGTCTAGATTGCTTATATCTGAGTATCCGACTAGCTCATGTTGAGTATATAACCATTAATGTGCAATCCAACTATCAACTTAAGCTTTTAATTGAAATGGAACACATACTTCAATTTAGTATCAGATGCATGTGTACCTTGCATAATGGAAGGAATGAAGTAGAAGATTGAGGTCTTCCCATACCCAAGCAGGGTTGATCATCATCTGCAAACAAGCTAGAAACATCTCTACAAATGGAGACACCGAAATCCTCTTTAACAAATCCGGTGGCGAATCCAAACCGGTTGACGGCGAGTTCACTCCCGACGACATCATCGGCCTGCAAGTGCTCCTTAGCAAACCTCTCCACCATAATCCTCGGCATCCTCGAAACCACAACCCGCCTCCGAAACAAGCAGAAACTCCCCCAAGCCTCCAAGTCAACATCGTCGAAGTAGAATTTGGGCAGAACCGCCCTCGCCACCGCCTCAATCTCCGCCACCTTCACGCCGGCCGTCGCCACAAAAATCGCCACCTTCAGCCCGGCGTCCCCTCGGCCGCAGAGCTCCAGAAACCTCACGACGGGCCACAAAATTAGCAACAAAGCAAACCGGATTATCCCAGAGGCCTCAAACGCCACCAGCATGAAGTAGCAGAAGGGAGAGGGGTCTTTCAAGAGAGTCCCTTCGAGCTCGGAAACCACAGACGACGGCGGCGGCGACTCCATTGATGAATCGATGAGTCCTTGGTATTAATTTGATGTTGTGGGTTTTCTTGAATTTGGGTTGTAAAGAAATTAAAGGGGCGTAAGATGAAGGTAGATTGACTCTGGTGTAATGGAAGAATGAAGGTTCCTAGCGGTCTGCACCTAACATGGATAATCCATATATTTATATTCCAAGTTGAAAGTTTATTTGCATGTTTTCTTGAGGTGGATACATCTGCATGGAATGCAACAATGCACGCCATTTCCCAAGATTGGTCACTTAACTCTACCAATTCAACTAATTAATTAAGGACTAGTAGTGTTTATCTCTTCATTCTTTTACTTTAATTCATCAAATATTACTATATTTGAATTGGTAAATTTTAGATGTCCAACTAACAATTTTTCGACTAGTGGTCAGATAAAAAATTAAAGTAAGTTTTCTCACCATTTTTGTTGGGTCAATGTTGCCATCCACTTTTAAGGTCAGTAATAGCAATAGAAAAATTTTCAAAATGTTAGGATACTCGGGAATTATATATATCTAACCGAAAACTATCATAAATTTCCTACTACTTTTAGATAAGATGAAAATTTAGAATTTTTAACTGTGTTAAATGATGATTTCTCGTAAGACCGGACTAAGTGATAATCTATCATGATTACCTCGCTTTTAGTCTTCATGTGTTTGATGCTCCGAACCCCTAAAGACATTATGACCGGCCAACATAGATTAAATGATAATGCATTAGAAATTAGGAGAATACAGTGACAACCTAATATATAGATCGAGTTATCTCACGATATTTGTTGGGATCAATGTTATATTACTAATCATTTTTGCTAGATGGTTAGTAATAGTAATAGAGAATTTTTCAAATTGCTATAGAGTGGTTGGGATGGAATGTCATTTCTAACTTAAAACTATAGTAAATTTCTTACTATTTTCAGATATAGTATGAAATCTTGAATTTTTTTAACTGTGCTAAATCATGATTTAGTACGCAGATTAAACGATAATCCATCATGATTATTTCATTTTTAGTCTTCACGTGATTGATGTCTCCTAAAGACATTATGACCACCGTGTTTTGTAACATTGTTGAGTTAAATTAGTTGGATTAAGTCCATGTAGTTATTAACAAATCGCGATTTGGATGGATTAATGTTTTTGGGGGGTATGGATGTCATTTGGCGTACGTCCATGTGTCAATCGAAACGTAAGTCATCCTCGTTCGTGTTTAGGTGACTTATATTACACCGTCGCCTTTAGCCGCCATTGGTATAGTAATTAGTAACAGTGTTATGTTTAGTTTACTGGTAAACCATCATTAATTATATGATTAGGATATCCAAATACTCTAATTTTAAATAAAATTAGAAAACCTGGCCTGTGGAACAACAGGCCAGGTGGCTCATGCATGCATGCAACCCTACGTACTGTACTGCCTAACTGCCTTCAATAATTAAATTACTTTGAGTTGTATGACCATATTGTAATTTCGCAGATAATTCAATGGCTAATTTCATTAATTAATACACTCTTTTTTTTTACAACATTTTAATTATATTATAAACTATGTATTTCGTGTTTGACCCTGCTTGCAAACCAGTTACGTTCAACGTCAAAACAGTCATAAAAATGCAAATTAAACCAATTTATGATCCTGAAATGAGTATCCGAGTGGTGGAGCATGATTCTTGTACTAAAAAATCATCGTGAGTTAGATTTTTGTTAACACTTTTTTCGGTCGAGCCCATCATACAAGATTTTTGTAGTACGATTTATTTCAGGTGTGGTTTGCAAGCTAAATCGTCACAAAAGTACAATTTACTCAGTGAATACCTTCAAATATTGACTATGAATTTACATTGTTTAAGTAAATAAGTAAATAAATAAAACAGTTCAAGGATTCTTAGGGGCAGTATGAATTAAGATAATGGACCGGTTCAACGTCGAAAAAGTCACAAAATTGAACTTGTCAGTTGTACATGTATTGAAGTAGTCATCTTAGAGGTGTAGATCAGAAGACTTGGGCGGGATAACTTGACCTCATCATATCCCAATGACTTGGAGTCGATGAGTCTGGTCTAGCGAGATTACTATTAGTTTTCAATTCAGTAACATTATTTCAAATTGAAGTATTGTTGTCACTCCGTGTTGGAAATTTATATAGTAATAGATATTAATGTTTCGGGTGGATTATCATGGAAGCTTAAATAATATTTGGAGTTGTGGAGTTATAAATATTATTTTAATTTGGTAGAAAGTAAGTTGGGAAAATATGAATATTGCGTACGATTGAAATTGAATAGTTCTTAGATTGATATGCATGAGTCGTTGATTTTATCGAATCGTTGGTGTTAATGAATCAATGCATTGATCTTTTCAGTGGTTTCGAATAGAGGCTTGATGAATTGATGTACAATTCGTTAAATGCGAATTATTGATTCACAATTCGTTAAATAATTGATGGTTTCGGCTGAAAGAATTAAACGAATCGATGGATTCGTGTAGATCAATACATTGTTTAACAAGTTGATGCCTTTTTGTATAAGTTTTTGCTTAAAGGGTTGTTGACTTCGGATGAAGAATTGAATGTTCAATTCGGCTTTGCCGGTTTGCTTCATGCATGAGGTGTGAAATGCATATATATTAATATATATTATTTGCTTTTGCATGTGACATGCATAAGTTATTAATATATATATATATATATATATATATATTACTTCATTAATACGTATGCAGTACATATATTAAAAACATATGAGTTACATATTTATATTTTCCCATATATCTTTTTAGATATATCTTATGGAAGTTGGACTTTTAAACCTCTGTAACTTCCATGTAACATCTCCTAACAGTTAGATTTTTACATCTATAAATACTTGGAAAGACATATGAGGAATACAGGAAAAAGAAAACAAGCAATTGATGGAGGTAATCAACTTGCAAGACACCATGATATTTCACAGGCTTACAATTTTACAGGAAATTCTCAAACAAAGCAACTTGAGAGTTTCATTCATCTTCTTGTATCTCATAAGATTAAATCTTGAACCTTGTTGCTTTTATAGAGGATGATTTAAAGCTTATAGGAAAGTGATTACACGCCTGAAGATATCAAATGATCCAGTTTTTGTTCCCTGTTGTCTTCTTTATTTTTTTATTGTATCAAATGTATTACAGAATACAAGCATTTTTTTCTAACACTCCGTACAAATATATTCTTTTTTGTATTTTGTATTTATTGAGTTTTATTATTAGGCAAGTTGTCCACATGGGTGCATTATATATGTATATATTAGGTTGGACTTGGCTTAGCTTGCCAATAAGATAAGTTGGAGTAACTTTTGAATTTTGATGACTCTTCAGCGTTTAATTGACTAAGCTAATGATATCTAAGTGACCCGCACAGATTTAACTCACTAGTTTAATAGACAATATTTGAGAGAAAAGACCAAGGTCCAAACCTTGGCAATTATGTGATCCCTTGTGCACATCGACATTTGGCCCTGTCAATCATTTATCAATAATAATAGTTTTTGCTCCATGACCATGATTGCTTTTGTATATGTACTACACATTATACATAGTGAATTTCGACTTGACTTAACCTAAAATATCTGTGATTTTTACCATTATGGTTTTCACGTTAAATCTTTGTGTCATGATTATTTATTTATCACATGTAAACACTTTATATCATTCAATATTTTCTTTGACCGACGAACTTAAATTTCTCCATCACTTACTATTGCTAATTGTAATGTAAACGATCAAATAATTTAATCAACACGAAACCTTGTAAACAAGGTTACATTAGTATATGACTTTTTCTTCTACCTCAAGCTGACCCCTAGATTCTATTATGAAGGTATGTGATTCAAGGTTTGAAATTCAATTCATACCAGGAATTGATATTAAAACCTAACACTTTTTACGTAAAATTATAAATTTACCCAATTAGATTATAAAATTATTGACTTTTTGTCATTTTAAAAATAACTGACAAAGTTTACTATTTGTGTCTCACATAATAATGATATAAATTCTATTGAGGGTAAATCTTCCAAGGACATTATTGCATACACATGAGTTTAAACTTCAAACTCTTTTTTTTGTGTGTGTGTGTGGTGGGGGGGGGGGGGGGGGGGGTCATAAATGGTATTTCTAACATACTTTCCGGTTCTAATATCTAAAGGATACTTGAAAGACTAGTAATCAAGATTTGTGATATCTAATGTCAGAACTTTGATTTCCAATAAATTTAAACAACTCAAATCCTTGGATGTTTCAAGTGCTAAATTTCAAAGTGTATGGATTACTCCTAATTATTTTTTTATAGAAAAGTTTACAATGTTGTAATTGTATTACACTTTACGCTTTACGCTTTACATGCCATACTCTCCCTTTATGTACTTTTAACAAAATACAAAATAAAACTTTACAAAGCACACAGAATTATACGGAGTAATACATAACATTGTAACATTTATCTATATTTTGAATGTACCAAAAAAAAAAAAAAAAACTTAACACAATAGTTTAGTACAGTTATTAAGCAAGTCTCTAATGCAACTAAGTGTTGCAAAAATCGGACCTAAGCGCCGATTAATCGGCGCCTAGGCGTTAGGCGGTCGGCCACCTAAATGCTCTAGGTGCCCACCTAGGCGCTCTAGGCGTCGATTAATCGCTCTAGGCGCCCTAGACGATCCCCAGACACCTAGAGGACGCCTAGCAATTTTTTTGGCAACTATACAATTAAAATTTTTGAATTAATTCTCAACAACCTTTGAATATTTGAATTGGGCCAATACATTGCCTAAGGGGATAGGCTTAGCCCAACGTGAGCATATTATATCGGCAAATTATGGTGTGCATCCATATGCACCAAGCATGGTGCATACGGATGCAAAAACGACGTCGTTTTTATAAAACGCGCGTCTCCCCTTTAAAATAAAAAAATTAGGTTCGAAACTATAATTCCATAATCAATGAACTATAATTCCATAATCGATGAACTATAATTCCATAATTGATGAACTATAATTCCATAATCTAATCTATGAACTAAAATTTTCAGAATGAATGAACTAAAATTCCAGAATCTATGAACTAAAATTTCAGAATCGATGAACTATAATTCCAGAATCGATGAACTATATTTCCATAATCGATGAACTATAATTCCATAATCCATGAACTAAAATTCCATAATGAATGAACAAAATAATGTTGTTACTAGGAATCGAACATGAATTTTTTTTTTAAAGGGGAGACGCGTGTTTTTAATAAAACGACGTCGTTTTTGCATCTGTATGCACCATGCATGGTGCATACAGATGCACAGCATAACTATTCTATTATATCCTGCTTTGATGTGACTTTTATTATTATTCTCCTTTTTTTTTTTTTAAGGGATTCTTCTTCTTCTTCTTTAATTATTGATTTAAAAAAAAAAAACAATCTGTTATTTATGTGACTTTTATTTATGAGGTGTTCATGAATTAGCTGACACATTGATAATTAAAAAAAAAAGAAGAATTTAATGAGTGTTTAGTTGCAATGAGGGAATTAAGAGGAAAATAAATTATCATTTCACGGGTGAAGAATAACATGGAAATAAAGTGTAAATTTAAATTTAAATGTTTCATTTACAAGAATATAATTATTGAGAATTTTAATTCCAATGTTAGCTGTCCATGTGAGTTGAAAGAGAATAAGTAGTACTCAAAATGTCATACTGGACAAATGAAACACCAATTTTAGATTAGAAAATAAAATATTAATTCTATCTCAATGGTAATTTTTTATTCTCAAAACCCGCATAATTTTAAAAATATCAAGGAGAGGCATAATATTATAATTCCGTGAAAATGAGGAAATTGTGATTCCTCTAACCAATCGAACAAATTTTATTACTTTCAAAATTAGGTAAAAATGAAATCCTAATTCACTCAAACCAAACGAGCTGTTAATTGTCTAATCAAACAATACCATGAGTGAAATTTGAATGAAAAACATATGAGAAGTGTATAACATCATTCATTTAAACATTTAATTGTCACTCAAAATTTTAAAATAATGTTAAATTTAACCATATAAACTAATTTTGCTTAAATTTTTATATCAAAACGATGAGTTATATTTATTTATCAAGAATAAAAACAATTAACAATTTAATTATCAAATCCAAGCACCAAATATATCAGTAACTAAAAATAGAAAGCCCTACAAGCAAATAATTAAGAATCCATATATAAAACCAAGCAGAGTCTTCCGCCGTAACCACCGCATTGCCGCCTTTCGCCGCCCCTGCCACCGTCATCCGCCACGTAAACCAACACTAATCCTTCTAAAATCACCATCCACGTCTCCGTCCTCATTGAATCTCACCAAAAACTATTCTATATAGTACCAAATCCTTCCACAACAATTATTTGCTTTTTTTATAGTACATGAAAACAATCATGTATATTATTCCGGAGTATAATTTTTTTAAAAATGTGATATTTTAATTATTTGTATATATATTTTTGTCATATTTTTAATATAAAGAAGCAAAATAATCTAAATTATCAGTTAATTTTAACTTATTTAATCACTATTATCTGTTTCATTAAGTTAAATAATCAACATATGATTATTTAAAATTTTTTATAATAATTTATTACTCCAAACATTAAAATTTAAAAAATTATTAAAAATATTTTTTCGATAATTTTTTTCAAAAAATCATTTTATAAATAATCAGTTAATAATTAATTTATTAATTTTTATTAATTATTATTAATTAATCAAACTCACTAATCCACTAACCCACCCAATCAGCTAATAACTTTTATGAAACACCCTATTTCTTTTAGTATTAAATACTAAAGAACCATATGGGTGAGTGCCATATTGAAGTCATCTATAAGGCACAACTCACAAGCTAGACAATCAAATTAATCTTATCCATTTGAGAAAAAAAAAAAAAAAGACTGAAAATATTAATAATAATAAATTTATCCAAATTAGGCAACCGGATTCTACAAAAACCCTAACCGGGAGGAAACCCTCCTACTGACTATAAGAGCAAATCTTACATCATCTCTCAATCTCAGCCGTCAACATCTTCATCCAACGGCTAAAACCCTCTCCACGCTCCATGCTTATCAATCCCCCTGCACTTCATCACTTTCTCTCTCTTGAAAATGGTCCATCTCATAACGATCAACTGTAAAATGGCATTGTCGGAGCTATAATTTTAGCTAAATGTTTGAACTTATGCGAAAAAAATGGAATCTTTAACAGTTTCTCCACCTTTTTTTTAGTTGTCTGAGAGAACTTACGGGGAATTAAGTTAATATTGTTGCTTTCTGAGCTTAATGTTTGTCGATGCTTTTTGTAGTTCGCGTGTGTGTATATTTTTGCAATGATTACTGATGAAAATCGGAGAATGCGATCGGTGATGGGAGGGAGCAGCGATTTTGGGGAAGAGCTAGAGGTGCTGCTAAGAGAGCAGAGGAGGCAGCTGGAGGAGGCGGGCAATCGGGAGGGGGAACTGAGCATTTTCCGGAGTGGCTCAGCTCCGCCGACGATCAAAGGATCGCCGGAGGCTCTCGGCGGCGGTGATTTGAATGGAGTTTCGGAGGAGGAGATGAGGTCTAATGCGGCGTATGTTTCGTATTACTATTCTAACGGGAACGTGAACCCTCGGCTCCCGCCGCCTCTTTTGTCCAAGGAGGACTGGCGGTCGGCGCAGAGGCTGCAGGGCGGCGGCGGTGGAGGTATTAATGGCGGCGGCGGCGGTAGTGGGAGTCACGTGAGGCTCGGGGGAATTGGAGACAGAAGGAAAGTGAGTAGAGGGGTTGAAACGTCCCAAATTTCAATGGGAATGGGATTTTCTGGGAAGAATCTAGAAAATGGAAGTGAGGCACAGAAGGACTGGGGAGGCAGTGGACTTATTGGATTGCCAGGACTGGGTTTAGGAAGTCAGCAGAAGAGCATAGCAGAGATTGTTCAGGTGAAAAGGATGTTTAAATTATTTGAAGTCCTAATTTTGGCTTGAAAACTTCAAAATTTTGAACTGCTTGCTATTGATAGTCATATCCTTGACCATGATTCTCCCAGATTAGTCATTAAATATGCATAAAATCGTTTTCTTTATTCTGAAAATTTTAGTTATTTGTGGTTACGAGGGGATAGTAATTGTGAATCACTCGAGAGTGTTGCTCATCATCTGACACTCGATGGAATACTAATTGGAATGTGCGTACCTCTGGTCAGTTCAATGTGTCTGTGGTAACCTTTATGTAAAATCCGTCCCTATGTTACTTTTAGTTCTCGAGTGTTACCTGTTATTTGAATAGCGTGTATTCTGTAATTTAAGGATGCATATTGTTATTTTCAGGAAAGTTGCTCTATGTTTTGTTCCATTTGTTGAGTGTATCATACATTGTGTCCAGTTCGAGTTTGTTGTTTTGTGCTAGATCTGCTGATAAGAATTATTACTTTTTAATTACGTCATTTTTCGAGTGCTGGTCATGATTGTTGATTTCGGGATTTCCTTAATCACATCAAGTGGTGTTTAGTTGTATGGCTGCATTACTAATTAACCTAACAAAAAAGAAAACGTAATTATTCCATGATTTTTTTTTAAAATTTCATGAAACGAGTAGTAGAGCTGCAAAAATCTCAAATTTGGTGTCCTCTTCATGCTGTTACCTTTTGGAGCAATTGTACTATGCTAATTATGAGACTTGGAATTTTGGGAGTTCTTTTCAGTTGAAAATTGATTTTTGTTATGTCTTCAGCTAATGCTTCACATTTAAAGTGGGTTGCTTGTCTGACATATTTTAAATGCCTGTTTATTGCCTTTTATTTATGCATAGGCATTTCTTTCTAGGTTCTAAGCACTCCTTTTGCTAATTTTAGGATGATATAAGCCACACGATACCTACTTCAAGACATCCATCTCATCCTGCCAGCCACGCGGTGGATGCTATCATTGAGTCTCCCGAGTCTCAATTTGATCATTTCCGGACTGAATTATCACCTTTGGAGGCATTGCATTCTCGTGCAAATATTCCAGACGTGTCTTCACTTCCAAACATTGGTTCATCTGCTTCTCATACGTATGCTTCTGCTTTGGGTGCTTCACTGTCAAGAAGTTCCACACCTGATCCTCAACGTATTGCTAGAGCTCCAAGTCCACAAATTCCTCCCATTGGAGGAGGAAGAGAAAGCTCTGCTGATAAAATAAGTTTAAATACCTCCAATTCATTACATGATGCTTCACCTTATACATTGGAGTCTGCAGATTTGGTTGCCGCATTTTCTGGCATGAACCTGTCGGTGGATAACATTGTAGATGACGGGAATTGCCCAAAACCTCAGGTGCATCAGGAGAGTGGTAATAACCAAGACTTCTTAAATGTGCAGAATCAGCAGAACCATATTAGGCAATTCTCTCACTTGAATAAGTCTGCTGTTCTCCATGGTGGCTCATTCTTGAAAGGGCATTCCACTCCGACTCTAAATAGTGCAGGAAGATCACCACCATCTCAGTATCTAAATGGTCATAGTCCTGATTCAGTGTTTCCAGGTTTCAGCATGAATGCATCACAGTTTGAGGGTAGTAATTTGGCTTATTTATCTAATAATAATGCGGGTGCATTTGGACTTGATTCTCGAGCAATGGGAGGTGGCATGCCCTCGAGCAATGGTAATTTGGCTTATTTATCTAATAATGCTGGGGAAGAATTGCAGAACCTCTATAGACATAGGAATCAGAACATAGGGAGTTCTATGCAAAAGCCCTTTTTGGACCCTCTTTATCTTCAGTACTTGCAATCGACTGAGTATGGTGCTGCTCAACTCACAGCTCTTAATGATCCAGCAGTTAACAATGGATCTCTTTGTGACGTGTACATGGATTTGCTTGAACTTCAGAAAGCTTACTTAGGAAAATTGATTGCATCCCAGAAATCACAGTATGGACTTCCTTGCTTTAGCAAAGCTGACAGCTTAAATCATGGTTATTTTCACGGCCCTGGAAGCCCAATCCTTCCAAATTCCCCGTATGGACCTGGTAGTCCTGTCAGGTATGGTGAAAGGGACTTGTGCTTTTCATCAGGGATGAGGAGCTTTGCTAATTGCATCCCAGGGGCATGGCACTCTGATCCACTGTCCAACCTTGGGGGAAGCTTTACTTCCTCACTAATAGATGAGTTTAAACACAATAAAACTAAATGTTTTGAGCTATCAGAGATTGACGGTCATGTTGTTGAGTTCAGGTATATTTTCTGTTTGCACATTATCCATTCTGTCTCACTTGGACCTCTGAAAACTAAGTTACTGAGAACTTTGCCTCTGCAGCGCGGATCAGTATGGAAGTCGGTTCATTCAACAGAAACTTGAGACAGCTACTATTGAAGAGAAGAATATGGTCTTCCATGAAATTATGCCTCAGGCTCTATCCTTAATGACTGATGTGTTTGGTAATTATGTGATCCAGAAGGTAAGTTAATCGACGAACAACTGACCCTTTGCAAAACTCGTCCAACACCAGCTTCGTGCTTTCTTGTGAATAAAATTAGTAATAGAGAAGCTATATATGTGATATGTACACATTGACTGCACATATCTTCTTTTTTTTTAGTTTAGGTAGCACATTCAAGTGGCTTACAAACTCTCTCTTCCCTGTCTCTCTTTTCTCAGTTTTTTGAACATGGAAGTGCATCGCAGATTAGAGAATTGGCTGACCAGCTCGATGGACATGTTCTCACCCTTAGCCTTCAAATGTATGGATGCCGAGTTATCCAAAAGGTATCGTAATCCTCTATCCCTTTGTTCACTGAACTTAATGCAATAATATGCTATACTTAAATGCCTTTCTATTTTAACTGTTTAGAATGTCTGGGGCGTTCAATCTGTCCTGGTTCATAACCTACCATAACCAAATCCCTTCCTTTGGTTCTATTTTTTAATATGATAGCATTTGATTTTGGGTGATATTGTATACTTCACGTATAATTGAATGCTCACTTGACCGGGATTGGTATTAGTCTGTAAAATCTGTTAAACATGTTGTATGGGTCATAAGTTCTGTGGCTTGATATGTATTCTGAATAAACCAGGCATTAGAGGTTGTTGATCTGGACCAAAAGACAAAAATGGTTATAGAGCTTGATGGCCACATTATGCGCTGTGTTCGTGACCAGAATGGAAATCATGTAATCCAGAAGTGCATTGAATGTGTTCCAGAAGAGGCCATCCAGTTTATTGTTACCACATTTTACGATCAAGTTGTGATGTTATCCACCCACCCATATGGGTGTCGGGTCATCCAGGTAAACAAAATTCTAATCCCATCTGTATGGACTATGTTGTCAATGGTATTATGGTTCAAACGTAAATGACTTTTTATGGATTGCCTTTCCATAACAGAGAGTCCTGGAACATTGCCATAGTGCCAAAACCCAGAGTATAGTGATGAATGAGATTTTGCAGTCCGTATGCATGTTGGCACAGGATCAATATGGAAATTATGTCATTCAGGTTTTGCTCTTTTTCTCAGAAGCTTATGCATCATTGTCGGTTTTTTGCCCCATTCTTCAAATAGTTACTCTTATGAAGAAATAACTAACGAAATACTTAAACACCTTTTTTTGTACTATACCATTCTTAGGTCGGGGTGTACTCCGTGCTACTATTATAACTCTTTTGTGCTAATTTTTGCTTTCCACGTTAAATTAACATCCACTTTCCCCATATTTTGTTAATTTAACTTAGCGGTTAAATCTAAGCACCAGTGTATGTACCTTTTGGCATCACAGCATGTATTAGAACATGGAAAGCCAGATGAACGGTCGGCTATAATTTGTCAGCTAATAGGACAAATAGTTCATATGAGCCAGCAAAAATTTGCCTCTAATGTTGTGGAGAAGTGCTTAACTTTTGGAACACCCGAAGAGCGTCAAACCTTGGTAAATGAGATGCTTGGCTCCAATGACGAGAATGAACCACTTCAGGTATATTGATTTCTGAATGTTTGCTCGTTTGTTACAGTAAACGGGATCTATACTCGCCAAGACTGGATGTATGCTTAGAGTACGACTGCATGAACTTCTCTATACCAACGAGTTTTATATGATTTTGCACAGGCGATGATGAAAGATCAATTTGCAAACTATGTCGTACAAAAGGTGCTGGAGACTTGCGATGACCAGCAGCTTGAACTTATCCTCAACCGAATAAAGGTTCACTTGAATGCTCTGAAGAAATATACCTACGGAAAACATATAGTTGCCCGGGTCGAGAAACTTGTTGCTGCTGGGGGTATATTCTTTCTTCCCTTCCCATTTTTATTTACAATCTTGAATTGAATAACTGAAATTCGTCGAGATGGAAGTCTAATCTCGCAAGCTTGATCCTTTCCTTTGCAGAGAGGAGGATCATGATCCTGTCATTGAATTCTGCACAGATGTAGGAAGGGAATTGCAGAACTAACGACAACACCAGTATGCGTTTCTCTCTTGTTTCTTCTCGTATCCTGCTTTAGCTCGATCTTAGGCTCTTAGCTGTATCGGTTAAATATGGGCGTTTAGCGCCCGTTAGAATAGAACTTGTGAGTTGTACATTGTTAGATTGAGGATAGAGTTAGAATGAGATTTAGCCATAGCCCAGATGGTGAACATGCCTGATGCCCCTACAGGAAGGAGATCACAGGTACTGTACAAGTTTTAAGATTGTAAAGAGGAAAGCCATGACTGTAAAAAAAAAAAAAAAAAAAAAAAAGTTGTCTTGTGAAGAGCCAGAGTTTTATAGGACATGTTTTCTAATGTACGGAAAGGGACTTTACCTTTTGTATCCTTTGTTGTAGGAACTTTTTTTTCAACAAGTTTATTGTTGAGGTACTTTTTCTTCATTCTTTTCTTTTTTGATGAAGTGGGATTACGGTAATGGGAATGAAATTAAGTGAGTAGAATTATAATAAATGCATAAATAAACAAATGTGGGTCTATTGATATTTATATATAAAGGCATTTTTAGTATTACTAAAAAAATTTAATAAATATATGATTTATTTGTGTATGATTTATGAAATGATCAGGTTTATTCAATTTTTAATAGTAATTGTGAGTTTTTTCTGTTAAAAAAAAATAACAAAAACAAAACAAACAAAATATTATATATCGAGGAAGAGGTGAGATACGAAATGAATTAAAATAATAACAAGATAAATGATTAATCGAGGAAGAGGTGAGATACGAAAGAAATTAAAATAATTTTATTGAGGAGTGATTGAATAGGTAAAATATGATTTTTGTATTAAAAAATTAATTTAATTCCTGTTAATATTTTGTTGGTCAAGTCAAATTATACATAATTTTATACATATTTGGTGATAAACTAACAAAGAATATTTTTAATTTTTTTTATATAATATATTATTAATTATTAATTATTATTATTATTACAACAAATTAATCATAAATACAATTAATTTTGAACTCTAAATTTAAAGGCTTTTCACCCTGCTCAGGAGACAATAGGCTGAGGTAAATTGTGAAATTTGCTTCATAACGTAAGATTTGGGTGTCTGTTTTTTTGTTCTAAAGTTGAAATCTTCCCTCTTTAAAGATTCAAATTAAATATTTATTGTCACAACATCCATATTTAACATTTCAAACTACTAAGTTATGCTCTAGAAGCTCATAAACAGAACAACAAAACTTGCATAAGGTAGGTCAAGATGAAAATATAATATTTATAAAAAAAAATGTAATACTAATTAGAAATAAAGTGTTTATTACTCATATGAAAAAATGTAATACTTTTTTGAAATAATATTTTTACATTTTGATTTAAATGTATTACATTTTTTTTTAAATAACAAATATTTGTCAATATTACTTATAAAGAAAAGTATAACTTTTTTGATAAAAAATATAATATTTTTATATTAAAATATAAAAGTATTACATTTTTCTTCAAAAATATTAATAACGAATACTTTATCCAGAATTAGTATTATATTTTTTTAGTATAATTATTACGTCCCTATATTGGTCCGATCTAAAGCATAATCAAACCAACCAACCCGCTTTCCTAAACCGCTAAACCGGTTCTCCATCGAATCAGCTTCTCACACTCATCAACCCTAAAAAAACTCGGTCTTTCTTCTCTTTTCTTCAAAGTACTCTGCGCACGAATCAAACCCGAGTAAGTTTCATTTTTTGGACAATTTCTACAACCCTTATCTATTTACCCTTTAAATTTACGTTCTTTACTGTTAATTTCAAGCAAATTTATGCAAATTATAAACTTTTTTTTTATAGCGTGTAGTATCATTGAGCCGTTTAGCTTCTGAAAGTCATGTTTTTTTTTTTCTTTTTTTGCGAGATAGACTGAAATTCTAGTTTGGGACTGAGGAATCTTGTTGAGTTGTTGTATCTGATGATAGTGTGTAAGAATGGCTTTGAATTTGGAGGCTGTACCAGCAAAACCACGAAAACGTGATCCAGCTTGGAAGCATTGCCAAGTTTATAAGAACGGGGATAATGTTCATCTCGTGTGCATATACTGTGGGAAGATATTTAGTGGGGGTGGGATTCACAGGGTTAAAGAACATCTGGCTGGTCAGAAGGGTAATGGCTCAACTTGTTCCAGAGTTGCGCCTGATGTTCGGCTTGCAATGCAGGAGTGCTTGAGTGCAGTGGTGAAGTCTAAGAAGCACAAACATGGTGAGGAGTTAGATACAGTTGATCCCAGTACTAGTGAAATTGGGAGTGACCAATGTGGATTGAATACAGAAATTGAATTGTCTCCGATGTGTTCTCAAAAGCGTAATCCGGCTTGGAAGCATTGTCGGATGTGTAAAGATGGGGATAAGGTTTATCTCGAGTGTATATACTGTGGGAAGGTTTTTAAAGGAGGTGGGATTTACAGGGTTAAAGAACATTTGGCTGGTAAGAAGGGTAATGGCTCGACTTGTTTGAGAGTTCAGCCTGATGTTCGGCTTGCAATGCAAGAGTGCTGGAGTAAGAAGCATAAACACGCTGAGGAGATAAAAACTCTTGGTGCTGGCACTAGTGAAATTGATGTTTCGAGTGAGCAATGTGGATTGAACACAGAAGCTGAATGGTCTTCAATAAGTCCACAAAAACGTGATCCAGCTTGGAAGCATTGTCAAATGTATAAAGATGGGGATAAGGTTTATCTCAAGTGTATATACTGTGGGAAGGTATTTAAAGGAGGTGGGATTTACAGGGTTAAAGAACATTTGGCTGGTCAGAAGGGTAACGGTTCAACTTGTTTGAGAGTTCAGCCTGATGTTCGGGTTTCAATGTTAGAGAGGTTGAACGAGGTTGTAACGAAGAGTAAGAAGCAAAAACTTGCTGACAAGATAAATATTGATGATGCTACTAATCAATGTTGGTTGAACGTGGAAGTGGAATCACTTCAAGTGCCAGATACGCTTGAACAAAATGGCAGTATGTTTGTTAGTCGAGAAGAAGGAAAGAACAGTAAGCTGCCAGGTAGGAAGACGGGGAAGATTAGGAATGTGTCTCCGTCTGGAGATGCGACCCTGTTGGCTCGACCTAGTAACCAGGCCGTGAATTCAAAAAGGATAAACAATGAAGTTCATATGGCAATAGCTTGGTTCCTGCTTGATGCCGGGGTGCCCTTTGAGGCTGTAAATTCGGCTTATTTCCAACCTATGATCGATGCAATTGCTTCCCAAGGAGTCGGGGTTGCTGGCCCCTCTTACCATGAACTGAGAAGCTGGATTTTAAACAATTCAGTTCAAGAGCTCAAGAATGAAATTGGCCAATGCACAGGCACATGGGCAACAACTGGCTGTTCTGTTTTAGTCGATGAGTGGGAAACCGAGAAGGGCAAATCGTTTATAAACTTCTCAGTTTACTGCCCGGAAAGGACAATCTTCTTGAGATCTGTGGATGTATCTAACACCATCAACTCTGATGGTGCTCTTTTTCAATTGCTTAAGGAGGTGGTGGAAGAAGTTGGTGTTACAAACTTATTGCAAGTAGTTACCGGCTGTGAAGATAGATATGTCGATGCTGGTAAAAGACTTACTGATGCTTACCCTACAATTTTCTGGACTCCTTGTGCTTCACAGTGTATAGATTTGATGCTCGAGGATATCAAAAGGCTTGAATGGGTAAATGTAGTACTTGAGCAAGCCAAAGCTATATCAATCTTTATCTACAATCATAGTTTTATTTTAAATATGATGAGGCGGTACACTTTTGGAGTTGATTTAGTCGACTTGGGGGCTACTCGCTCTGCAACTGATTTTTTGACGATAAAAAGAATGGTAAATATGAAACACAATTTGCAGTCAATGGTTACTTCAGAGGAATGGATGGAGAGCCCATATACAAAGAAACCAAAGGGATCTGAGGTGCCAGATTTTATAAGCAATCAGCACTTTTGGTCCAGTTGCACCTTGATTACCCGTTTGACAGACCCCCTCTTGCGACTCTCGAGGATAGTTGGTAGTGCAAAGAAGCCGGCTATGGGGTATGTTTATGCAGCTCTTTACCGAGCAAAAGAAACTATTAAGAAAGAACTTATTGACAAGGAGTACTTGGTGTACTGGAATATTATAGACCACAGGTGGAGACATCTTCGGCGCCATCCTCTTCATGCTGCAGGATTTTACCTCAATCCCAGGTTCTTCTATAGCACCGAGGAAGATGTGCAACATCGTATTAGGTCACTAGTATATGATTGTGTAGAGAAATTGGTTCCCGACCCAAATGTTCAGGACAAAATTGTTATAGAGACTACTGCTTACAAAAAAGCTGCTGGAGAGTTTGGACGGGATATGGCAGTTCGTGCTAGAGAGACTCTACTTCCTGGTGAGTATACTTTTTGCAAAAAACGTGTTCTTGCTCTCTCGATTTCATTAGACACTGATAACCACTTAACCAGTCACCTGGTTTCACATCTTTGGGCGATGGAGGTTGTTCTTTATTTGAATATTATGAAATGTCCCCTCTCGTATATAAAAACCAATCTGGCCAGCACTTTGCCCCTTAATTGGCCCGGCCCGGTGTGAACAGGGATTAGTCTGAGTATGGTACGGGCTTAAAAGTGCCTCCTATAATTAGGGTCTGCTCAGGACACCTCATGGTCTGACCAAAAAAATATATATTATGAAATGTCCAGGGTGATATACTGATATAATATCTTTTCAAGAAAATTCACAGTGGAGGAATGGTCTATATATGCTATCTTAATGCAATCTATGCTTCTTACAATGTCGGTCAATGAGCAGACTAGATAACAGTATGCTTCCCACCGGTTAATATAATGTTCATAACTGCACTGATAATTTTTCTTATTATGCGAGGATATTAGAATGCTGCAAACTTCATAGTTTAGTGCGATCATCAAATTGTTGTATTTGTTCTTCGAAATTCTAATCCTTGTACGTTAATCATAGGTGAGTGGTGGTCAGCGTTTGGTGGAGGCTGCCCGAATTTGGCTCAGTTTGCCACCCGAATTCTCAGTCAGACGTGTAGTTTGATAAGCGGGAAGCCAAGCAGGGATCTTTCTGAGTGGATAAACCGAACAATGAACTGCTTAGAGCATCGAAGGCTCAACGATCTTGTTCTTGTACGGTCCAATTTACGCCTGAGGTAAACATGAGTAGAGCAGTAAACCTTCCTATAAAGTCTCTCGAAGATGAAGTTTGGAGGAGCTATGAGCTTTTTTCTTTCTTTTCCAGGGGAGAAATGAACAGAACACAGAGTCATATGGATCCCATTGCATATGAAAACATAGCACTTGCAGGAGACTGGGTTTCAGGGAGGGAGCTATTCCCAGGGGAATCGGGGTGTACAGATTGGGCCGTGGTCGATCCGCCATTGGGCAACGGGGTGCTCTCGGGCCCAGAAATCGACGACGCTGAAGCATTGGGCTCAGGTAAAAATGCATTTTTCAACACTATAGGTGAACAAGCAAATTGGGTTGACGAATGTTAGTTTTTTTCATCTGTAATGCTCTCAGGGTTTAACGATCATGAAGTTCTCGATTTTTGATGGGGTGAAAGAGCGGCAAGGAAGGGGTTCACTCCCTGCCACGAACATTGGGAGTTTGGGTCTGGCATGAGCTATTTGTGCGTAAAAGTGTACACCATTGGCTTGATTTACTTTCTCATGGGGTTCAAGATATATTCTGGCAAAGCCGAGAAACTAAAAAAAGGAAAAGTAACATTATAGAGCAGAGAGAATAATGCCATATTGAGTGCCCTGGCGAGTAAGGCATTGGAAGAGTGGGTTTACCCATACCATTTTTGTACAGAGTATTATTAGATGCATAAAAAGAATATTATATAGTATGAACTCGTTTTGTATTGTAAAATTTTCTAGTCGAGACAATTTGAAATGTAAAGTTATTCTTATGGTCAAACGGCACAAGTCTTTAGAGCAACGATATTATAGGTTTTGGGAGAGTTTTGTCAGATTTTTGAGTGGAATGAACTTATCCATCTTTAATCAAAGGTTAAAGGTTGTCCCACTCAAAAGCGGTGCCTACAATTCAACGAAGGAATTAGTTACTATGTTTGACGATGAAGCGGTGCTTACAATTCAGCGAAGGAATTAGTTACTATGTTTGACACTCTAAGTACACCCAAAAAAAGACAGTAAATACGAACTCTCAAATTTGGAGTTCTAACTTCTAGTTGTTCAAATATGGTGTGTATCTGTTCCATTGCAAATGCCATTAAAATACATTCACACTTTACTCCTCTACTAAGATAGTTTGGTAAAAACTCATAAGTTTGGAGTAAATTTATTATTATTTTTTAAAATCAAGTTGTAGCCTGCCCCACAAATGAAAGAATAATAATATATACGGATTACAGAGTAATATATACAGTACTATTATTTTTACTCTTTTACTTGCGTGGTATATTACTATATTTTGATTTGCTCAGAAAAATTGGTTTTAGTGGTGAACCACAACTTTTACTGAAAAATGTCATCTGTACTTTCATTTTATACTCACAGCTTTTATTCTCCCACACAAAATTTAATATAATACACTTATATTATGACTCACATGAAAAATAGCTTATCAAAGCTCACCACATCATGAAGTAAAATTGAAATAATAAGATTTGAAGTACATGTAGTAAAACTCTTTTTTTTTTTTTTTTTAATCAAAAAAAAAAAAAAAAAAAAAAAACTCATTTTTACTACCCTTTTCTCTTCTACCAATCAAATCACAATTGAACGTTTTAGAGATAATCCATGTCATTTTCCCAAATGAAATAGCAAGTCCTTTTCTTCTTCTTCTTCTCTCTCTTTTTTGTTTGTTTGTATGTGTGATACACGCACCCTTGCTCAAAGACAAAACATTATTCTCCACCTAAACTTTTGTCCTTATCTTTCAAATAACACAACAATCTTTATTGACCTTTGGTGTTGCCTCATGCCTTAACAGTGCAACATTTCAACCTGCTCATATATCACTCTTATATTAAATAAATAAAAAATTTTTATTAAAAGAAACCCCTCGCACAAAAGTATTGAGTTGATCTGATGATACCAAAAAACCTCTCATGTGTAATATGAGAATTATTACATAGGAAGTATTTAACCAATACGCACCATTTAAATATTGGCTGTGAGTTTCCTTCGTCACCTAAAATAAATGATGGAACTAAATGCTCTATCCATTTTCTTATGGATCATATCTCTCATTAGTCATTAAGCCACAAATAAGCACATTCCTAAAGAAGTTGTGTAAACCATAGTAAAGTACAATGCATAGAAATCATGGTAAAAGTTCTTTAAACACTATACAAAAGCTATATGCAATTATCAGTTCCTATTTCACCTTGCCGCCCATAAAAGCCTAAAAACATGCATCTCATGTTTCAATCGATCAATGATGATGATCATGTGAGACATGACTTGGTTGACAAATGAAGCAAACATAATAACACTCCCTAGTAAAAAGGAAATACTAAACTTATACTATGATCCATCGCTAGTTTTTTGGGTGAACAGGAAACCCACACCCACTACCCAAGGGTATGCACTAGATAAACTCCGCCTTGTGATCTTAGCTGGCAAAGAATCACAAGAAGGTAACCCATCCTAGGTTGTCCATAGCTGACCGCTCAGTCAGCACTAGTTTTAACAATACAGTTCATGGACCACCTAGCAATATGATGTTAAGTTCAATGGCAGAGATTTTGTCCATGTTTACAAAACTTATGCATATTAAGCTTCCAAAGACATAATTTGAACTTAGCTAAATATTTTTGCCCAGTTTATCAATATCAACAATGTATTTATAGCTAATGGGAACATCAATCTTCATTCTAATGACCATTAACATGGATATTTAGACAAGGACATAATGAAATGCTTTCAAGGTCATAGAATAGCATTTGACTAGCTAGATACGAGCAAAAAAGAAGTTATCATCATACCAAATGCACTTAAAATCAGAGATTGGCCCGCCAAAATGGACTAAAATCCTCCAGCATATCAATGCACTTAAATTCAGAGACTGGCCTACCGAGATGGACTAAAACGTTCCAAGTGGTAGCAAGCATAGATACAGATGAACCTTCCCCCACCCGTACTTCCAGCCCATCTCTAGGACAGGTTGATTGGAAGAAAACATTTATATCGTTTGTTCACCAACCTAGAAGACATTTAAAGCCGTTAAACAGAAAATATCAAGTTAATCCTTATAGCATATTGCATGAAATCACAAGTTAGGAAACAGTAAAATCGTCAAAATATATGGCGTAGTACCTTGTTTGAAGAAAATATTTCAATTTCAATTGCTTCTTCGTCATCTCTGACTGTTCCTCATTGCCACAATATAACATCAAGGTGAAGAAACACTTGAACAAAAAGGCATAGCTTAAAGAGGAAAAGAAAATTGATACATTGTGCCATCTTATACAACAAGAACCAAACAGGCGAAAAGAAAACATTAGGTGATTCACAAGGGATTATAGGGGGAAAAGGGTAAAAGAAGAAAAGTTAAAGTTGTTCCTCTTTGCCATGCTAATATGAGAAACTAGCGGTTTTCAACAAGGACAGCAGTGAAGTCCCTCTCTTTCACCTGCCTCCTATTTTCCTCCCATTAATGCTTAATAAGAGGATGGAGGACGAGGAGCAGGAGGCCAAAGGGCTTCGTGAGGATGTTGGGCGTTGGGCAATACGTTAGGAGGTAAGTTGTATAAAGGTATAGACGATGAAGAATCGGCCAAGCCATGCGAATGTGCTGCTGAAGAACCAGCATCCACCATCCCTTCGTCGGTTGGCTCTTCCTCCAATGGCAACCTTTGGTAAGCTGCATTCATGTATGTCGCAGCAATCACTATCACTGGCCCTGAAGCCACCAGGGTTCCCATCACATTCCCACCCAGCACTTGTCCCTGCCCACCAGCCAAGTAAATTGTCAGTCCTGTTGTTCTCAGAGGCGATGGAGCTGGCAAAAACGCGCCCGATAACGATAATATCTCGAATCTTCCCTGTAGTGTAACCACTCCATCCGGGGCGGTCGGTTGGTGCAGGGTTACATCAGTGACAGTGCCGCTGCCACTCAAAACAGAGACACCGCGGTGGCAGCGCTGCGCAAAGGTGGCAATGCAGTCCACTATGTCACTCCCACTGCTGATTTCCAGCACATGGCTATGGAGTGAGTTTGGGCTTTCCTTGGTTATCACAACTGGAGGCTTAGGCTTGTTCTTCGACCCTGGCGGCCTCCCCCTAGGCCGGCGGCGCCCAGAGCTGCTGGGAGCCCCTGGATCAGGGTTCTGCTCCTGCTCCTGCTCGCCCCTGCTCACCTCCTCAGCGTGGCCTTCATTCCCATCACTGCTGTTAGTGGTGGTATCAGCCATGAAATCTTGCTCCCTTCTCATCAGCCCATGGTTATTCAACCCAGTAACCTTCTCTTCTTCACCACTGTTTCTTGTAAGATGAAGCTCTGGACCCCCACCAGCTGACCCCATCTGATTCATTGCTACATTTCCAGTCCACCACCTATTAGCCATAGCTTTTTCTTCACACTTCAGCAAAATACCTTTCTCCTCACACTGAAGATCTCACCAGAAACAAGCAACCTGCACTCTACCAGCTCAAGAACTACTACTACAGTACTATGCCTTTCTCTCTCTAATATACATGTATGAATTATAACATAATCACTACTATATTAAAAAGATACAGCCAAATTATTCTCCTGAAACCACCAACCACCTCTCTTCCGTCACACCTAAGTAATATAGAGAGGGAGAGAATTCCACTACAAGCTAAGCCTCTCCACTCCAGTCTCCAAGTTTTCTTCTTTTCCAGTTTTCTGATATTTTGAAACAAGATTCAGCCAAGAACACCCTAGAAAATCAACAAGTAGACAAGAAAAAACCTTAACTCGAAACCGTCCCCAAATCACACTCGAACCCAGAAGCTAAAGAAACCCTATTACCAGCAAATTCTCAGAAACACGAGAAATACTCAGATCTCCACGTACTGCAAGCTTTTACCAGAGAAACAAAGCAAGACCCCATTGAGATCTGAGAGCAAACCATACTCGAAAGCTGAAACCTTTCCAACGAGAGAAAGAAATCTTAGCTTAAACTTCATTTCATCGTCCCCAGGCCCACGCCACAGTTCCCAAGAAAACAAAAACTCAACAACCCAACTGTGAAGGCCAAATAACTCGTACTTCTCTTAAATCTTTCGGAGCAATAAAGTATAAAGACAGAATAACAAGAGATGAGTGGGAGTACCTCTATCAGATTCAGTTGGTACGGGCTTCGGTTTTTATGGGTCAGGGTGTTTTCTTTCTCTCCTTTCATCGAGCAGGTGGTGTACGGTTACAGAGCATAATATATCTAAAGATTTAGCCATAGACGCGGTTTTGCGAGGAGGAGCTTCCGGCTTTTGGGTGTCAGAGGTTTCATCTCCCGCCGTCCGTTTGTCTATGATTGTTCCGGAAGTTCGGACACATGGCTTTGTATCCCTATCCTCACCATGCACGTATACTTTTTTCTGCCCATTTTGACTTGGTTTAGAAGATTTAGCAAATTAGCAGTCAGCCATCCCTGTTGTTCAACGGGGTTTGTTTAATAATGTCGTCATTTTCCCTCCACCCAACATGCACAACTACAAACAAAACTCCCACTCTCTTCGTCACTCTCTTTAATTCAAGTAAACAATCATAAATGCTATTTGTTGCATACAACTACCCATATATACATTTAAAATATTAAAATGGAGCTCCGAAAGCGAGGACCAAGTAAGCGAAACATAATTCTCGTACTAGTTTTTGTCAACACTTTTTTGATGGAGCCTGATATAGTAAATACGGGGTTCCTACTGATTCGGCGGAGATCTTATGTTAGTCTGCTTGTTGATTTAAGTCCTTTAACTCGAATTACGTGATAGTTGGTTAGAGATTCTCGGGCTTAAGAGTCTAGAAATCGCCAAAGATCTCTCATCTTTGCATTTAATGCGGTATTTATAGGAAGCAAAGGGACATCTACCGGTTTTTCGGCATGTGTGGCATGTGGATCGAATGCACTGGGTAAGGTTGGGTCCTTCATAGTCCGGCCACGTGTCCATATATTCATGAGTAATATGGGGTTCGCTGCCAACGAATTCGGCTAAAAGACCTAGGCAAAAGGCACTAAGTATCGTCGATCGGGTGTTCAGTCCCGGCCTAATTAAGTGATACTGAACTCTGCCTGACCAATGAAGCGGCACTTGGTCTGAGATTCAGGTCGGTCAAGCACGGGATAAGCTTGGCCATGGTCAGATGCGGCCTTGCCCGGGGTGGGTGGATCCGATACTGATCAGGTCGCTACAAGTGTAACCGAGGATATTTCCTATCAGAGCATTTACATAGATTTTGCTGGTTATTACATAGGAGCGGTGTTTGGAATTTACCTAGTGCATACCCCTACCACATAAAAATTGTAAATTTATCTCTTCACCTAAAAAATATTAAATATATAGGATATATTTCGCTCCTGATTTCACGTTCTAATTTTTATTTTATTGGCAATATATTTTTTTTTTTTTAGCTTAGTGAGATTGATTATGTGTAAATTTTAAATATTATTATTGATGTAACATGAATATACGAGGTAAAGTTATTAAATTGACAAGTTAATTGGTTTATGACCAATGAAGTATTAAATTAAATGAAATAGGTAATAAAATTTTTGAAGTCAATGGGCATTTAAAACACATTATGGTGGCATTAAGAGATGTCAATCAAACATAATTCATCGCCCCTAAACCCATCCACAATACCATGGTCGTATAGAATTTTAGAAAAATTGTAAAACAAGCCCTCCAACTAAGGGCAATATTGAAATTAGGTCTCAACATAACAAAATATTAATTAGACAATTGAAATTGGAAAAAAATATAAGGGTGTGTTTGGTTGACATGTTTATCTATCAGGATTCAGGAATGGATATCAAAATCATTGTTATTGCTTGGTTGACAGGTTTGTAGAACACTAGTATGAGTTTTGATTACCCACTTAATTTAAAAAAAAAAAAAAAAAAAAAAAAAAAAAAAAAAAACTCATTCCCTAATAAAATAAGGGTTTCATTCCATTATTCCTCATCATACATAATCAAACAACAATATTGATAATCATTCCCATTCCACCCTACTACCAAACATGCAAAATACTTTCACCAAAAACCATTACCATTACCAAGTATTTGATACTCATTTCGATTCTGATTCTCATGTGTGAACCAAACACACCCTAATTAACATTTTTAACAAGATATCATCAGGTAAACTATTGATAATACATGACATGTGCTTTCTTCTTCTTCTTCTTCTTCTTCTTTTTTTTTTTTTTTTTTTAAAGTAATTTAAGGCTAAGCTATAAATTTTTAGAATTAATGTGGTGTAATAATAATAACTTTTGATATGGAATAACGCTCTGGTATATGACCGTATATTCACTCGATACGTACTATGTATCCCCTGAGGAATACTTTCCGATCTTAACTGACCCTGTAAGGGTTTACCCCGACCCGAGCAGAGCTACGAATTCGTCCTTTCAGATTATTAGTTATTTCGCAACGTCTTCCGAGCTCGGTTTCGACCTTAGCGACCAAACTGGGCACCACTACTAGAATTCCCCTACACTAAAGAGCCAAGCACTGCACCTTTGATGCCGCTTTGCCTGACGACCTCCTAATTATATTGGACTCGTCATGAATCATTCCCCACGTGGACTTACTGGATGAGCCGCCGACCACACCAGTGCATGTGAAACATGTGGCGAACATGCCGAACACCCGACATGTGCTCCCTCCCAACCCCTATAAATAACGCATTTAATGCATGTGGAGGGGACTTTGAGAATTTCTCACTAATAGCATATCTAAGCTCGGAAATATCCGACCCACTGTTTAAGTTACCCGAGCTCACTAACATACCCAGCGAACTATACGTAGGTGTATTCGTAGATCCAAATGTATTAATTACCACATCAACTTTATTATAATTACTACTACTACGCCACATCAATTTTAGAAATATACAACTTAGCTCCAAATTAATCACCTAAAAAGCTTACATGGCATGTTCGGTCAACATGCATATTACTAGATGATAACCTGCTAAAGGTGTTAATTATTTTTATTTTTTTGCAAGTTCATCTAATTGAAATTTTTTACTTCAAAGGTTTAATTGCACTATTGCTACTAGTTCAATGATTTAGTTGAACATTTTTCCTTGAAACTTGTATTTATATATAATAAAATTATTGTCATTTTTCTTTAAAGTCGAGTATTAATTGCACATTAGTAAATGTAGTAAAAATTACATTTTTGATCTTTTATTTTTTTACTATTCATTTTGATTTCTCACTTGTTATTATTCCAATATACTTTTAAATTTTTCAAAAAAGAAATAATAGTTTTAATTCTTGAAGGAACAAAACTATTAAATTACATCTTCTAATAAAAAAAAAACTATTAAATTACATTAGGGTTTTGCTTAGTATTATATGTATTTTAGTAATATTATATTTATTATTTATAACTTTTTCAGTTTCACTATTTAATATGCAAAATTCACTGGAACCTTATCCCCTAAAATTTCATCATGCAATTACAATACATCGTCCCTATTTTTTTTCTACACATACATGTTAAAATCAAATTCCATATATATTATCCATTAGAAATATTGAGATGGGAAAGGGTTATTATAATTAAAAAACAAAATAAACATAAAAATTACTCAAATACTCATGTAAAAAGTAAAACTCTAATGAAGTTTAATAGATTTGTTACTTTATGGACCAAAACAACAACTTGTTTAGAAGATTAGGGGATAGGTTACAATGGTAAAAAATTTAAAATTAAAACAAATAATAAAAACTAATTAAGGGACTAAAAACGTATTTTTACTTATTAAATATCTAAGGGTTGAATTTTCTCCCATCGCCTATGAGAGCAAATTAAATAAAAATAATAATAATTGAATTTCTCTTAATATAAGTACAAGGCCAATTATGCCAAGGACCTTGTGGTCTAGTGGTATTAACTACTAAGTTGTTTTCTCATATGGGAAGTTGTGGGTTCGAGTCTCAATAAATGTGATAAATTTCTGCTTATAATTATTGAAAAAATATAAAATGGTGCATGTTCACCTAATTACGTTTCTTATTAGAATTATAAATATACTCATCACATTTTAATGTTAAGAAATGAAATTTTTATCATTGGTAATGTACTTTTTATACGGAGTATTATTTTTCTAATTATTGATGTACAATAATTGTTTGAGTCACGTTTAATTTGCTCTTTTGGTTTCGGGCCTAAACATCAACTTCTTTTGGATCTATTTTACCTGGGTGAAGAATGCTATAATCCAATGGTAGCTGCATTTTGGGCTATCAGTGGTATTTGGGAAACATAGGCACTATGGTAGTAATGAAAAAAAAAAAAAAAAAAAAAAAACAAAAAATAAAAACAAAAACAAAAACAAAAACAAAACAAACAAACATTTTTATCGGTCTAAAAAGGTGGTTGAATAGATGATTATCGTATTAATTAAAAGATCACGAGTTCGATTCTTATTAGCACTCTCTCGATCAAGCTTTTTGCCTTTATGCGGTTCACCTCTCTTATGTGGTAAGTTGACTATTATACAAGAGATGTGTTTATCTAATGTTGTGCGGCGATTTTATTTTTTAAACGCTTTATTTTGTGTGAGGTAGTCTCACACAATTTTTTTTTTAATGTACTACATTGGTATCCAAATCGCACAAAATACAATAAATCCAAATAATTGTACTCTCAATTAGTTTTGGTACATCTGAGAAATCCTACAGAAAGAAATCTACCATCTTGCTCTTCATATGATGTTCGGTTGGAAGGAAGAAATTAAAAAAGAAAAAAGTTATAATTTGGTGAAAAAGAATAAGGTGAGATAAAGTAGAAATTCAAATTACATTGTTTGATAGGGATGAATATAATTATTGGGAAGAGAATGTGAGGAAGTGATATAAAGACTAAATTAGCCTTGTGTAATAATATTAATAATAATATTCAAGGGCAAATATTATTTTCTTCCTTTTCCATTTCCTTTGCATGGATGAATTGCAATTTCCTTCAACCAAACAATGCAGTTTCTCCTTTCATGAAATTGTATTGACATTGAATTGCAATTCATGCCAACCAAACACCTCATTAAGTCAAGACACTCAAGGCATCCAAACCGAGTAGCTAGTGCATTCGTGTTATCTGAATGGGGTTAAACACAAAAAATTTCCGATGCACATTATGATCAAAATTTGTCAAAAAATCAGCACATTTATTCCATTTTCTCAAAACATAAGAAAAATTTGTGTGTAAGTATGTGTGTGTGTGTGTTTTTTTTTTTTTTTTTAAATGTATATACTCCTGATTTTTTTGTTTAAATGATTCAGATAACTTGTACTTGGAGTTGAAGTCTTTGGTTGTATTATTTTTTTAGATTGTGCTATGTAAAATATAAAAATATATTCAAATCATATATTTGTCACAGATGTCATCAACACATGAAATCGGCAACAATATAATAGTGGGGGTAGGCAGGTGACAAAATAATCATCAATGGATTTTCTGTAAGCAATTATAGTGTATAATCTCTTCTAAATTTATTATTAAAATAGTTTATATAAATTTGTTGTATTTCGGAAAAATAAGATTTCATGAGGATTTGGTTCATCCAATAATATAGGAATAAGGGTCAAATAGGCCATCGAACTGCACACAATAATGCAATTAGGCCACTGAACTTAAAAAAACAACAATTGGGTCCCTAAACCTACTAATTTTATACAATTAAGTCAATTTACAGGTTTTGTAGGTTAGTAACAGGTCACTCAAAATTTAAAATATTTTTTTTTAAACTTTTTTTTTTAAACTCCACTGTCCATCACAACTTCTATGTTTGCAATCCGAATTGCAACTTCATCCCAGGATGTACTGGATTGGGATTGAGGAGAGATGCTCTCCAATCTCCTATTCTGAGCAACTGTCTTCGCTTTAGACAGAGTAATTGGCGATTGCAGTTCGCGATCAACAATTTCTAGATCAATTGGGCGAACCATTGTCGATCGCATTTTGCGATCGATCACCACCTCCGACCTTTCACAATTTTTAAAATCAATCAAACGGACAGTCGATTGACTTGCGATTGGAGATCGCACCTTCACTGGAGATCGCACAATTCCTCGGATTGGAGACTGCTTTTGACGATCTTCAATCGCCATAGCAATTAAATCTTCTTGCGTATTGCAATCCGATCCAATTGGGCGGACTTCTGCGACCTTGTAAGGAGACAGAAATTCTAGACGAATTTCCTTGATTTTCAACAATTGGAGACTCCGTCTCCTTCAATTCCAGATGAGAGTCATCTAGATTAGCAACTTTTCTCCCCTGCTTTTAGTGGACCGGATTTCCCAGCAATCGGGCTAGTAAAATTAAAAAAAAAAAAAAAAAAAAAAAAAAAAAAAAAAAGATTCCCCGTCTCTACCGGGCCATGGAAACGGAAACAGTTTTTTTTTTAATTATTATTTTTAAATAATAATTTTTTAAAAAATGTTTTAAATTTTGGGTGACCTGTTACTAACTTGCAAAACCTGTAAATTAGACCAATTGAATGAAATTGGTTAGTTTAGGGACCTAATTATTGTTTTTTTAAGTTCAGTGGCCTAATTGCATTATTGTGTGCAGTTCGATGGCCTATTTGACCCTTATTCCAATAATATATTAAATCATAGTTTATTTAGGTTGAACATATTATATATATATATATATATATATATATATATATATATATACTCCGTATATTAAACAAATATCTTTTTTATCAAGAGGAAAGGAACATTCAAAAGACTCTAAAACTATGTCAAGAAAGACATCCTTCTCCGCCACAAGGCACCCATAATCCATAGCATGTCTCTCAACACACACACTAAAGACTCGCACAAGAATTTTTAAATCATTGAAAACAATGTTGAAAAAATCGCTAGGCGCTTAGAAGTTAGAACGCCTAGGTGCAATTTTTACAACACTGATTAAAAATAATTGATCTTGGTTTAACTCGATTGAACCATTAGCTAAAAGACATTTATAACTCTATTTTGTTTCCAGTAAACATAAACCTTTAATTCTTGGCCCAACTATCATTTCCAAGCTTCCAACAAATTGATTTATTGATTAAACAATTATTTATACAAACTATAATTTAAGTCCATTGATATGGTCGTAGATTATCTTACTAGTTTGCTCCTCACTCATCATGATCGAATGTTGAAGTGTTTGGATTCTCCACATGCTTGCAAAAATCGCGCCTAGACGCCAATTATTCGGCGTCCGGTCACGTCAAGATATGTCAAAATCGGCCTCGTCTGCGGTCGAATCCTGAATTTTTTTTTTTTTAAATTTTTGAGGGAATAATCCCCTAAAATTTTTAAAAAAAAAAAACGGATGCCTAGGTGCTAGGCGGAGCCTAGCCGCATCAAGGAACAACGAAATCGGCCTCCTCCGCAGCCAGGCGCCTAAGCGGTCTAAGCGGCCGAACCCCGATTTTTTATTTTTTATTTTTGGTGAATAACCCCTTAAAAATTAAAAATAAAAAATAAAAACGAACGCCTAGGCGTCGATTAATCGGCGCTTAACGTCTTTTTCAACATTGATTCTCCATAGTCATTTCATCGTTTGGTTTTGTTGAAAGATTGTTTCATGTGTTGGTTCTAAACCCATAAAGGTGCCTATAAGATTTTGGGTATTTCGATCTTTTTTTTTAATAAATAACAAATAAAAAAATAAAACTAAATTCCTAAGTTATTATGAAGCATTATTATTGTGTGAAGTGTTTACGTAGACTTTATCGAACTATCGGTCCAAATAAGCAATTGATATCAATTCCCTCACGGAAAAATATCTCCGAATATAACGCATTATAATAACAAAAAGTAAAGAAGCAAAAATTGATCACTTATGCCACAGCTAACTAAGTAGGGTCCAAAACAAAGCCCACAAGACACTCCTTAGCTTCTCCTCACAATACACGTTTTATATTATGTTGGTAGGTTTTACTTTTTTAGTGTTATACTTCACATCTTACTCAACATATTCCATCCACACTTGACTTAATTACTAGTATCTTATGAAAATTTGAAATTGAATGTTCATTTTTAAGTATACAACATGATAAAGTAAATTGCAATGATCGTATAAATGAGTAAATATAAGTATACAGTATTCGAAAAGAATAGTCCCTACTCGAATATCTTTTCGTTTTCCTCTTTCACTCAGATCAATGGAGTCGAGTGTATAAAGATTCCTTATGCAGGTTGGTGCAAAGTGTCCAAATCTGACGCGATGAGTTAAATATGTGATAGAGACCCATAATTCATAGGTGTCGGCCTGACACAGTTACGGACTTACAGGTAGGTCAACAAGTCCGAACCAGCATCATCAGTCACGGACCTTTTTCCTAATCCATGTGAGCCGATCGGTCAGAATAAACTTTCAGTACACTAAAAACAAACATTTAGTATAAGCTATGAGAGTTGCATTCATGAAGTCCAAGAATTAGTTGAACATAACCAGCATACATAATTATCAGGCGTGGGAGAGCGCCGGACGGAACGGAACGGTATGGCAGATGCAATGAAAGCGACGAGTCGGGAGGTGGTTCGGTGCGGTGCGGTGAGGTGAAGATATATATAGTGTGTCACGTCGTGGGCTTAGCTTCCTTGTAATTTCTGTAACCAAAACTGTTGGTGCTTGCTAGCCATGATTCCCTTACGTGCCCTTTTCTCAACTCTCCTCGCTTTAGTGCCTTTGGCGGCTTAACAACTATTTGAGCCCCACATCCCTGCCACTTTTCCATCACCTTGCCACGATTCACATTTTCTTTCTATAATTTCCACCATGTTGACAATTTCAATACGTGTGGTACAATTGTACAAATTACTAAAATCATAACATTGCCTCTAATACCAAATTGAAAAATATATTCTACAATTTCTCAAGAGCAACTTGATACCACTAGATCATAATAAAATAATTTAATTCGATTTTGTACATATATTGATTTAGTAGGTGAGAAACTATACTTAAGACAATCTTTTTTTTTTTTTTTTGAAATGATGAAAGAAATTAGCGACTACTACCTAAAAATGTGTGATGGATAAACCGTCTTATTGTGACACTAGTTAACAAATTATCATAATGAGATAAACTAACCTAGGTTAATAGCTAAACGAGTCAAATGAAAAAGACTAATAGGTCACTTCTACATACTGTTAGTTAAACTTGTAACATTATACTTACTAAGTCGACGACCTACCAACTTAGTAGGGATTGCTATCAGTGAAGAGTTGAGACCATCTTTCAATGATATAGTGGAGGTTCAATTTGGGATTTACGTTTAGATTGAATTTTTTATAAACAAAAGTGAACATTTTAGGCTCTGTTTGGTAGAATTTTTTTTTTTTTTTTAGTTTATAGCTTATTTTAAGCTACAAATAAGCAATAGCTTTGTTTGCTAAAATATGTGGAGCTTAAAATAATAGTTTATTTTAAAATGCTCTCCAAATAGCGTTCAAAATAAGCTATAGGCTTTAACATTTTTTCCTTTTATATTTTTATTAATTTACAAAAATGACATCATTTACCCTTTTTTAATCAAAACTCTAATATCTATTTTTTTTTTTCTAAAAACTCTTCTCCTAGTTCTTTATCATGTATTTTTCCTAAACATTCATCTCTTCAGAATTTTTTACCGTACGTGTTCATCAATGTGAGAGACAAACAACACTCATTACCCTTGCGCTGTAATCATCCACGGTAATCAAATCTCCATTTATTATTATTTATCAGAGTAATGTGTGTGTGTATTGAATGATTACATAATATATATGAATACATATATGTTGCAATATATATCATTATTTACATTTAAATTTATAAATTTATAAATATGTTTTTATACACTTATTTTCTTATTCATAAGTTAATTTTACAAAACATTTTAATTTCGATCATTTAGCTTATTAACTATTAATCTTTTAGCTTTCAATTAGGTGTGACAAATAAAGCGTTGGTATTAAATCTAAGATTGACAGGAATAGAGGGGTGTGCCCCTTTGGCTCCACGTCAGATGGAAACACGTGTCCAGAGGGAGGGACGACCGAACTGCCGAGATATTCCGCAAGCGTCAATGGACGTTGACGTGCTTTGGCAGACGTGTCGCGATCTGCCATTGTTGCGTAAACGCTTTCATAGCAATTTTCCAAAAAAACTTCATTTGCCTTACATTATGCCATGGACGTGTTCCCACGCGCGTGTTAGACTACTCCATCTGACCATCATTTCATATCGAGTCTCACTAGTAACAGTATAAGAGTGCCCTTCTTATGTGTAAAAAGCATGATTGCAGTAGGCGCTAGACGCTAGTCGGGCTCCCGGACAGCGCCTAGCGCCTAGGCGGTCTAGGCGAAATCTAGGCGGCCCGGCAGGCGCCAAAAAAACAGTGGTAGACTTGCAGTTTGACAATTTTAATGAGGTTATTTTCAACATTGAATCAAATAACACATCCAAATAAATGAATTAATCATAATTCATAAGTCATAACATCAAAACAATATTAAAAATTAAAAATACTCAAATATGAAATACTCAAATACTTCAATCATCTAAAGATTAAAAGTATCAAACTAGTCTACGAGCATATATATGTCATATTATATATATGTATGCGCGCACGCACACACATATATATAATAAAAAAAAAAAAAAATTGGCCGAGCCGATCGGGTTAACTTGACCGAAATAGACGAGTTAACTCGACTAACTTAGACGCTAGGCGGCCAAATCGGCCGAGTTAGGCGCTAGGCGGGCGCCTAGATCGATTTTTACAACCCTGGTAAAAAGTAACAGTCTAGCATCTGCATTCAACTGAGTTATCATGATTTCTATCATCTAAGATGTTTTATCGAACCGGGACGTGGAGGCTCTTGTGGTTAGGAATTCAACCTTTTGGGAACAATATTATTGCCGTGTTTAGAAGTCCAGAAATATTACAACTGATGAATTTTAAGGGAATTACAATTCCCTCCAACCAGACAATGTAGTTTATCATTTTATTAAATTGCAATTCAATACCAATGCAATTCATGCCAACCACCACCCCATTAGTTCAATCTACAACAAACTAAAATTTTAATTCAAAAAGAAAAATAAAACTCAAACAATGCAATTGAGTTCTTTTTCTTTTTCTTTTTCATTTTTTTAACTAAAAAAATCAATCAAGCCCTTTTAAATTTGGTTAAAAAAAATATAATTCAATTCAAATGTTATATATTTATCAAATTATTATGAATTTTGCACTATTTAAACTTCTATATGGGAGGTTGTGGGTTCAAACCTTAGTAGAGGCGACATTGACTCTTTGTGCTTTATTAGGTTGAGAAAGTAATTTATGAACATATGTTATATTATAATAGAATCATTAGTTAAAAACCATCTCACAATCTTTTCACTATTTCAAAAACCACTAAAAGTTCATTGATGGAGATACTCTTATGTTTAGACCAAACCAAATTATAGTTATAGTGCATATCTTTAGGAATCCAATTTTCTTAATTATAATTTAGTCGAAGATATTCAATGCTCTTGCTTGTATATAAACTCTAACAAATGAATTGTAAGGGATTCACAATTTCATTACACAGCACAATATGCACTTTGCTATTGATTTTTTGTTTTCCTGATTTACACACTTTGTTATTCTACAATTTATGATGGTCAATTATCAACCTTAAAGTTATAAAATCAATAATACTTTTATTCAAATGTGACAATAACTTAATCTAATGTTTCAAGATGAATTGGATAATCACCCTAGAATACCCATGCTTGTTTTGCAATACTCATTGTTGTCTTATTGATTCTATATCTAAACTCTAAATTGAGGGGGTGATCGACCATATATAGTTATTTTCATCGTATTTGAGACAAAGTACGAAAATGATGATCTTCATCTCAAAGTCCAAGTTTAAAGGTTTAGATCATGACTCTTATGCAAGTCATAGTTGTCTCGTGGTGTTATTTATACATCTATCTTTTGTCTAGAGACCCAATTATAATTTTGAAAGACCTAATTGCAGTTTTGGTGTTCAACGACCCAATTACAATTTTGTCTGTAGTTTTATAATCTATTTCATCCTTATGTCTTATACAAATTGTAAACAAAATTATATAATATCCTAATATGTGGAGTCAAGTCACCACACATATGAATAAAAGTACAAATGGAACTTAGAGCATCCTCATCAATTAATATCCTAACTTGTTTATTTGACATTATTTAGTGTAAAGAAAAAAGAAAAATTAATAGAAGTTCCAGGTGAGGCATGGATGAAGAGAAGATGTTTCCCAGACGCGACTATAGGTGTGTGGACAGGAAATCCAAGAACAATCTCGTATTTCACGATGAAGCCACGTGGCGTAATGAGCCCACGAAACACACATTTTTAATCGGGGCGGGACTTGGGAAAAGGCAAATAATCTTCTACCGTTCGAACCCCACATGCGGAAGGTAGACTCACCGGGCGTGTTGGCTTCTGATTGGTCCACGTCCCGCTCCCCGATCTGCTTTCCACGCGTCCCTGTTTTCTTATCGACAGGAATATCGCTAAAAACATTTGGACGGTCAAGATCATACGTCACAGTTTATGTACGTGTCCCATGCTGCCCGGACGGTGACGGTCAGTTGACCGAAGATGAGTCCCCCACCCTATAATGCGCCCCTTCCCCCTGTCTATACAAAACGCCTCCATTGTTACATGCTCTCAAGATATTTCGTTTCTCTAAGAGATTTTTGTTTCTTCTGTTAATGGCGACGAAATGTGGAGGTGAAACGGAGACTAGTACTCCAGTTGAGCCCAGCTCCGAGGGGGCTAGACGGCGCCGGATGGAAATTCATCAGTTTAGGTTCGTCGCGGCGGATGTCACGGTTGCTCCGCCGTCGGAGAATGGACGGAAGAGGAAGCGGGTTGAGGTTTCGCCGGTTTATGCGGAAGGGGAGAGTGAAGAGAAAAAGGTAGTGAAGAAGAACAAAGATTCCGGTAGTCCGGAATCGGTGGTTTTTGGTGGTGTTACGGATGAGGCGAGATTCGGTATAACGTCTGTTTGTGGGAGGAGGAGAGAGATGGAAGATGCGGTGGCGATTCGCCCGTTTTTTAGCCGGAAACCCGACGGGAATTCAAACGACTTGCATTTCTTCGGCGTGTACGACGGCCACGGCTGCTCACATGTAAGTTATTTCGCGAAATTAGAGATGAAATTGAAATTGTGTGAGTCTGTAGCGTTCACTGATCTTTGTGGCTTCGATGCCTTTCCCTCCCAGGTTGCCGTGAAATGCAGGGATCGAATGCACGAGATTGTGAAAGGGGAGCTCGAGCGCGGCGGCGAGTCTACGTGGCAGGAAACGATGTCCCGGAGCTTCTCTAAAATGGATCAAGAAGTCGCCGACTTGCCGACCGGCGCAGCGCGCTCTAGCTGCCGGTGTGAGCTCAAAAGTCTCCACTGCGACGCGGGGTCCACTGCCGTCGTCGCCGTCGTAACTCCGGAGAACATTGTCGTATCAAACTGCGGCGATTCACGCGCCGTGCTTTGCCGCAACGGCGTCGCCGTCCCCCTCTCCGTCGACCACAAGGTAAATCCACGAGGCGGAAACTTCTAAATCATTTCATCGCATAGTTAATTTGAACTCTGAAACTAAACTAGGGTTTTGGTTGCAGCCGGATCGACCCGATGAACTGAAACGGATCCAAGACGCCGGCGGTTACGTCATCAATTGGGACGTCCCCAGAGTCGGCGGATTACTCGCAATGTCTCGCGCCATTGGTACGCCAAATTCCCTCAGAAACATTCCTTACTCCATGGATTCGATCAGAAAAACTAAATTTATTTCCCCCTTTTTTGCAGGCGACAGTTATTTAAAACCGTACGTTACATCGGAGCCGGAGGTGACAGTGACGGAGAGGACAGGGGACGACGAATGTTTAATCTTAGCAAGCGACGGACTATGGGATGTCGTGTCGAATGAGACAGCCTGCAACGTGGCCCGCATGTGCTTGAAAAACGCGAAACCTCCGTCGCCGTCACGATCGCCGGGGAGTGACGTCACCGTCACGGCCACCGGCGACAGCTCCGACGACGCGTGCTCCGATGCCTCGATCCTGTTGACTAAACTGGCTTTGGCCCGGCATAGCACCGATAACGTTAGTGTCGTGGTCGTCGATTTACGGAGACATGTATAAATTATTACTTAATTAATTAATTAGTTAATAATACTATCATCATAATTAGTGTATGTATAGTTTTTTTTTTTTTTTTTTTTTTAATCTAAATTTTCTAAAAAGTGTGAGATATTGAATAGGATGGGGGTGAGAAAATTGATTTGAGCTTTGGCTTAATAATTGTATAGAGCCTACTCCCACACAAAAATTTTCTCAATTCCCTAATTTGTATAGATAAAATTGTAATTTCTAGCTTTTCAGTATTTTTTTTCTTAATTTTACCTATGATATTCAATATATTTGTATCATTTTGAGACCAATTTAGATTCAGTTCAGATTCAAGTTCTATAAATTAGATTCAACTTAAATAGCTCAGACTTAATGTCCTTAATTAAATTCAACTTAGATAGTTCGGATTTAATGTTTTTACAAATTAGATTTAACTTAAATAGTTTGGACTCAATGTTCTTACAAATTAGATTCGACTTAGATCGTTCGGATTCAATGTTCTTACAAATTTGACTTAGATAATATAAATTCAATAATAGTCTAGATAATATGAATTCTCTACAATTTTAAATGACAAAAATAATAATTTGAGATTAAATTTAGAATTGTCATCAAATACAAAGGATCAAATAGAAAGGACCTCTGGTGAAATTAACTCTTTTTAGAAATTAGATTAGACTTTATATAAGATATTTTTTGAGTGTAATATTGTTATTAGACAAATAATTATCTTATCCTTGGTCAAATAAAGCTTCTATCCACGCGATTAGGCTTTTAAAATTTGATTACAAAATTATTATAGGTTTGATTAGTTTAATGGATATTGAGATAATTCGTATAGAAAGGCGACAAATGTAACGAGAGAAAGAAGTGGTTGACTTTGTTTAATCCGGTGAGTAGGCATCTTTTGGTGCGTGTCTGGTTTCTGCGTAAAAGGTTTTGTGGCGTGGCGGACTTATAGTTGAGAGAGAACTACTTTTTTGGTCGAATAATTATAATTTGGTGGTGTCTAGGTAGTTGAGTGTGTGAATTGTGAATTATAATTTGTGTATTAGAAGTTGGGAGTTTGATTATTATTAATATTTGACTTAATAATTAAAATGGTTCATTGATTACGCCGTAATTATTAATTTGATTTTTGACTATTATTTTTATCCAATCAAGTTTTCAATTATGTAATTTTTACCCAATTTAGTTCTCTGTTAATTTGACTGTTTGTTGACTGTCAAAATTATGGATAAAATTATAATTTTACAAACTTTTTCTTTCCTTTCCATTTAGTATTGCCAAATCATGCATCAATATGCTCCAATCAACTTCCGACCGTCAAAAAGTCACTGAAAATCTAATCCTTCAGTTCTCCGATGCACAACTACTGCTTTCGACATTGACAGGTTTGGAAGTCGATCGGAGCTTATTGTTGCATGGTTTGGAAGTCGATCGGAGCTTATTGTTCCAAATTAACAGAGGACTAAATTAGGTAAAAATTGCATAGTTAAGGATTTAATTGGATAAAAATGATAGTCAAGAACCAAATTAGTAATTATGACATAATCGATGGACCATTTTAATTATTAACTCTTAATATTTTTTTCCAACCGCTAGTGATTTATAATTTTTTTCGTCATTCCATTTATAATTTGGTGCAGAATAAAAATTGTGCATTAATTTTTAATGCACTTTTGTGCAATAATAGTGGTGACGGTAATAAAACTTATCGCAATGTATTATGAAAAGAAATAATTAAATAGAGTAATTGTATCTGGGTTGGACTTCCATTTGGAAGATTATGAGTTCGAGCCTCAGTAGAGGCGTTATTGGTTCTTTGTGTTTCAGTAGGTTGAGAAAGTATATGAACAGATACTACAATGTATAGGACCAGTAACATTCAAAAAAAAAAAATAGAGTAATTGTCTTTTAATTGTATTGCTAATTGTCTTTTAGTACAAGATTAAGAGCGTGTTTGTTGTACTATTACAGGAGCTTGGCTTTTATACTACAAAAAAAAACATGCATAACGGTTACATAATAAGTATAATGACATATAAATAATTGTGACGCTCTCGTTCATAAGTGTCTTTGCCCTCCATAACTAATGTTTCTTCAATAAGTGTGTTGGGCTTAGAGAGCCGATTCAAGACCGAACCAACCCTGAATCAACTCGGAAAAAGTTGGGCCTGGGCTTCATCGAGCCTAGCTAGGACCGGGATCAGCTAGTAAAGGGTTGATTCAGATCTTATTAAAAAAACTCAGGCCACAGCTCGAAACTGGCCCAAGACCGAGTCTAGGCACGACCCAGGCCCGTAACGGTGCAGGCACAATTTAGGCTCAAACTTTGACACGGATGTGTTTGAATTAATAAATAAAGTGTTTTTTTTTTTTTTAAGATAATGCTTCTTTCAATACTAGATCTATAGATCAGTTACTTAAAACATTACATTTAGGGGGCGTTTGGTTCGGTTATATACATGGTTGCAGTAGGCGCTAGGCGCTAGGCGCTAGTCGGGCGGCCGGGCAGCGCCTAGCGCCTAGGCGGATTCTATGCGGCGCTAGGCGGGCACCAAAAAAATTAAAAAAAATAGTAACAGACTTGTAGTTCGACAATTTTAATGAGGTTGTTTTCAACGTTCACTCAAATAACACATCTAAATAAATGAAATAATGATAATTTATAAGTCATAATGTCATAATAATATTAAAATCAATAATTAATGAAAGACGACATCGGTCAAAATCGGTCAAAAACGGTCAAAATCGGACAAAATCGGTCGACTCGGCCGAGTTGACCGACTCGGCCGAGTTTGGCCGCCCAGGCCGCCTAGGCGGCCGGCCGAGTTTTGGCCGAGTTTTGGCCAAAACTCCAAGGCTCGGGGCCGCCTAGCGCCTAGGCGGCCGAGTTTTGCAACCTTGGTTATATAACATAACTAAGGAAATGTGACATTCCAAAGTTCACATTCCGGTGTTTGGTTCATATTATCTTAGGGAATCTAACATTCCCAAGGAATGTCACATTCCCTCCAAATAGGATTTTGAAGGGAATGTGATTCCCTTCAAAATCTTAGGTAATGTAAGATAACCTTGGTTATGTTAGTTTATTATAATATATATATATATATATATATATATATATATATATATATATATATATAATTATTTTTGTAATTATATATATATTTTTATTTTTATTATGTTATGTTAGCATATAAAATAATTTTGTTTCTCAAGTTTAAGATTTTAGTTAATATTTTAAAATCATGTAATTATATATGATACCGTTATCTTATTTATTTATTTTAATTTTTAAATTTATTAAAATATATGAAAATATGTTAAGGATATTATAGTGTGTATAAAAGATAACCCTAAACCAAACATGATTATATTACATACCTCAATTTTAACCAAACACAGGAATCTAACATTCCCTAAGGTAATCTGACATTCCGTGAACCAAACGACCCCTTACTTGTTAATGGTCAATTGTTATAGTTATGTTCTAAATTTATGTGTCCAATAAGGACATCAAACTAATCAAAGTTTGAGTGATTTTGTTGAACCAATTAGAAAATGCACTAAATGACTTAGATAAAATAGAAAAAATTGATTTTAGAATATTGTGCGCATATGGTTTTTTTTTTTTTTTTTAAATTTATAAAGACATTATAGTTTTTTTTTTTTTTGAAAGGATATTATAGTTTATATACATCTACTCAATAAAATTTTATATGTAAATTGTTATGTGAAATTTCTCTATATCATGAGGTAATAATTATTTTGTATAATAGTAATCAAACTAGTGACGCTAACATAATTATAATTATGTGAGTTTTGATTCCTCTACATTATTGATGATGATACGTATAAATCTTTAGCATTATTGAATCAAAAAGTTAGAATGCCCCCAATTAGATGTAACTTTGATTTTTAACGATGATGTTAGAGGGTCAAATCTTTTTTTTTTTTTAAGTACAATTAATTTATATTAAAAAAATAATAATAAATTTGAGCCTAGCCCCGGATCAACTCACGAGAGGCACGGACTCAAGCCCGGGACCGACCAAAGTTAAGCCCGTCATAGGACCGGCCCAAATAATTCAGGAACGTTTCCCATCCGCATTACTCTATTATTTCCCCTCTTTGCTACTCTATTTACACTTAAGCTACCTCATTGGGTTAGAATCCACTAATCTTAGTCCTTGGTTATTGCACAAAATTCCTCTTCTAACTGCCACCCTTCTAAGGTAGCCTAATGCACTCACATCTCCATTCACCTTTATTGTTGAGTAGGCAATTGAATTCCTCCAATAAACCAGATCGAATCTCTTGATTCAAACGTTGTTGATCAAGATTCGTTACGTTTGCTTCAAACTAAACCACTTAATTGTCCACTATCCATTAGCTAAACAAATTGCTCATCAATGAGCATCTATCTTATGGTTCCACTTCCACCATAACCATCTACACATGCTATAATTCAATAAAGTTTAATCTTACCCCAAGAATAAAGTTTAATCTAACAGCATGGTTGGAATGAAGAAATTAAGGATAAAATGAATTGCAATTCCTAAGAAATGAATAAGGTGGAAATAAAGTTTTGAATTCAAATTACATTCTTTAATAGACAAGATTAGAATTTATGGGGATTGAAAGGAAAAGATTAAAATGCCCTCAAAAAGTCAGCGAATCATGTAGCTCATGTTTTGACAAAGCGACTGATTCTTTGTCTGTCCTAGGGTCATGGGTGTCTGTTAATTGTTTGGTTAATTGTTTTTTGTTTTTTTTTTTGAAGGTAGGTTAATTGTTAATGTTTTTTTTTTTTTTTTTTTTTGGTTTCAAATAATAATAATCAAGGGTAAAGTTGTAATTTCATCTTTTTTTCTCCTTTCCATCCACCACCAAATTAGACAATATTCTTACTTTCACCAAAATTCACGCTTCTCAGTATGAGGGTGATCGATTTAATTACCGGGATGGACCCGAATCACTCAATCCGGATAAGAATATGAGTAATAAATAAATAGATAAAACGAAACGGTGTCGTAAGGATCGCAGGGACCGTATGTTGTATTAATTGTCGTAAATAGGCTATTACAATGATTTGTTTATTACAAAATGTGTAGGATAATGATTAAATAGAGTGTATAGAACATGTCTTAATGAGACAAGGTGGAGATTTTTTATACAACCCCTACCCTAACCGCTACCCCCTAAGGCGGGAGGTGGTTGGATCCGCGTTGACCGCGTCCCTTTGACCGGTTTCAGGTCGGGCCTTTTTATGGTCGACCTCTCCACGGTCGACGTCTCCAGGTTGAGGTCGGCAGCTGCTCTTGCCGAGGCCCTACGAGGCCGAGGCCCTATGGGTCGGTGCCCCGGGTCTTGTTCCACCTCTACGGGTCAGTTTGCTCCACCTCTCCGAGTCGGTTAGCTCCGAGCATAATATATCCATCAGAGGGTATCATAGACATTTTAGAATAAACTTGGTTTATTTAAAAATAATGATAAAAATTGAACATGATTGTATTAATAATTGAAAACTAAAAATGAAATATGTGTAACAATAATTGAAATACTAAAAATAAAATAAATTTAAATTAGAATATACAAAACACATTATTATATATATGTAATGTGAAAATAAAAATTAGGAATGCCGATATAATGGATCAAACACCCATTATTTATATCTTTGTCAGCGCCCAGTCATCCATCATTTCTATCCTCGTCAATACATTACTTTGTGGATCATATTATATATGTTAGAATTTACCAATGTTTTGGCCCACCTCAAATTCGAAGGCAAATTATTGTATGGACCATGGTCCACACAATGTTATGTGGACCATAATAAAATGTACATTTTTAATATACTAAATGTACATTATTTTTGTACTGAATGTACATTATACAATATAATGTACACTCAGAACAAAAATAATGTACATTCTCTGAATATAATGTACATTATTTTTGTACTGAATGTACATTATTTTTATACTAAATGTACATTATTTTACTGTAGACAAAATATGGTCCACACAACTTGTGTGGACCATGGTCCATACAATAATGATTGAAATTCGAAGTAATAGTATATGAAACAAAAGTAAAAATGAACGAATTTAGAGATTTAAACGAGTGTAAAAATGAAACTTCAATTAGGGGGTGAGCATTTTGATTTTATTTTTTATTTTTCAGTATTTTGGGCTCCGTTTTGCAAGAATAAATAATGAAATTATCCAATTTCAAATTTTAGTTTGGTTTGATTTTGGTTCAGTTCGATTTAAATTTTAAAATAGTTCAATTTCGGCTCGAATTTGGTTCGTTTCAGAATTCAAACATTACATAGTTCTCTTCTATAATTATATATTTATTTTTACTAATAATTTAAATTTAAAAATCTAAACAAGAAGTACACAATGCATATTTTAAATTTCTCAATCTAAAATAAGTCAAACAAAACCGACCTCTTCACATGTGTTTACCGTTTGACAATGACATCACAGACTCGCAGAGAAAAATTGGGAACAAAGAACAATTGTGAAAGTTTAGGTTAGGAAATTGGGGATTTAGTATATATATTTGAGTAAATTTGTAAATATAAAAACATTTATTTACAAACATTTGGGTGTGTATATATATATGTGTGTGTATATATATATATGTGTGTGTGTGTGTGTGTGTGTATTCAAATGATGACAAGTATATTATAGGACTGTGAGGACAGATATAGTGTGTGTCATTAGTCGGTATATCGTGTGCATGACCGAATGTAGTCGTGTGCCACAGTTTGTATGTCGCGTGCTAGATTTGTTAATTTATAGAGCCTGGGTTCGAAACCTGATGTTTACATTTATTCTTGTATGCCATTATGTATTAAGTTGTGTGCCTGATATTAATTTGTTGTGTGCCCATTATATGTCCTCACAGTCCTCTATATATTGTTGTCCTCATTTGAACTCAACCATATATATATATATATATATATATATATATATATATATATGAAAAAGTTCATATCCGGCGAGGTCCTCCCGTGCGGCGGTTTATAGAATACACCAATAGTGTAAGAGAAACAAACAACAATGAAATGCAAAAATACACAACACACCCAAAAAAAATACACCATATACCTCCCTATCACTAAGGGGGTGTTGTTTTCTAGTGTTTGGTTCATGGAATTCATTTTCCAATGGAAAATGAATTCCTCAAATTTGAGGAAAACAAAATCCTTGGTTGGACCAAGGATTTTGTTTTCCATAGAAGATGGGAAGAAAAAGTGAATAGATTGCCTATTTTACCCTTGTTTTCTTTTTTAATTATATTACTTTTATTAATTTGTAGGGGCATATAGGTCTTTATACTCATTATTCCTTACAATTCCAAATCTAACCAAACAATAGAATTAGTATTCCTAGTAATTCTTTTTCCACCAACCAAACAATGAAATTCATCTTCCTAGTAATTGTTTTTCCATGGAATTCCAATTCCACTTCCCTTAAAACATAAAAAATGATGTTTTATGTTGTTTGGTTGGATGGAAAACATTTTCCATTGAGAATGAGGAAAACAAATTCCTAGCTCATGTTAGGTATTTTGTTTTCCATGGAAAACTAATATGACAATTTTACCCTTAACTATATATATATAGTGTCAGGTTCTGTGAGAACATGTCTTCCCGTGCGGTCAGTGCGGCATACACCATTAGGTATGCATAAATGCATCACACAGTGTTCGAAAATACACTATTATGTGTGGTGTATTTTTTTGTGTGTGATGCATTTTTTGGCATTTCATTCTGGTGTATTCTCGAACACTGTATGATGCATTTATGTATACCTAATGGTATATGCCGCACTGACCGCACGATAGAAAACACACAACTAACAAAGAAATACACTAATGCACCACAAAACGTTCAGCGAATCATGTAACTCATACCTGAGCTCGGGCCTTTCATTGTAGAGTGTGGGAAGGTGTACCTCCTGCATGCATCTCGTCTATTTTGATGAATTAATAATACCATTGATTATTGCTTTCAAAAAAAAAAAAAAAAATCCAGCAATTCACAGGGTGACGACTGTTTGGGAAAAGAGCTAGACATTAATACTAAGAATTCCAAAAGACATTTTATGATTTTCATGCATGCATCTGCGAAACCATAGGCAACCGTGAAGTAACTCATGCGTCTGGGATTCAATCTTCAGTATAATTTTTTACTGATGAGAAATTAACTTAGTTATATATCCGCAAGGACCGCATCAAGATCCCCACACTCTACACTTATAAATCATGATGAATTAGTGGCTCATTAGGTGAGAGACAATAGTTCAAAAATTATATGTTGACCGTTCACATATTTTATACTTGCAATTAATCGTTTATATATGCATCTCTGAATAAATTAAATGTTAACTGTAAACACATAAACAGTTGACTGAAGACACCTAAATTGTTAACTGTATAGAATTTTCAATGCAGACACATAATCTCAAGGTTATTTTGGATCAGAATTTGCAAGCTAGACCATGATCCATGGTATAATTTGCCAGTGAAAGAATGCCGAAATTTGATTACATATTCTTACCCACAATCTACTAGGAAAGAAGTGAACTACTATTTGCTGACACAGTACAACTACTTTAATGTCTTCATGGAATCATACAGTACGATGAATCATGTGTGTATATATATATATATATACCGAATAGTACAGTACAGTTCCTAGGACGACAGTGTTGTATAGTAGGTGTATCAGGCTATACTTCGTACGTGGGTTTCATCGAAAATGGTACGAGCAGGCAGCGGGAAAGGGCGACCCTTCCCGCTAAGCAAAGCTCCACTTTTTTGTGTATGGCTGCTTTCGGTGAGGCTGTACACTTAATTACTACAATCATCATATCGCCCAATGGCCTCTCACCATTAAAAGGCGAATGCGAAAAGGTGGCAGAGTGATCCAACCTTTTCTTCCATCTTTTTATAGTTGCAGAGAACTTTTTATTGTCAGTGCTTTAAACGCCTATTTGCCGTCTGATCTGTGTCATTTTGGACGACGCTTTTCTGCTCCTAGATTCCATTGGCTCATGCATCCTATCGTTGTTATATCTTTGCTTATCCCTTAGCTTGCACTTCACTTCTCATTTGCAGGTCGATTACATATATACTCATTCAGCGTTCGTTACGTTGCTGTCCAGTTCTGAGATTGGTTTTGAATCAGCGAGCAGACAACCTAGTATAGGATTCTTGAAAATGAACAGGAGTGCTGCTGTGTTTGAGGTTACTCTCCAAAACATTCTTTCCACCATCAATCCCTTGAAAGAGGATTGGTCTAAGAGGTTTCAAGTCATTGATGATCTTCGAGCTGTTGTCCAGAGCATGGAAAGCCTCAGAGGTATTCAAAACATGTTCTCTCTGTTTTTTTTTTTTTTTTTGAAGGCCTATTACTGATTGGCTAAAACCAAGAAGGCCAATAGGCCGCTCTTACTCGGCACTAGGAGTTGAACTTGTAACTTTGTTGTAATCCGACCAACTTTGCTGGAGTTGTTGTGGACATTCTTTGTTGCGGTTGAGGATGTTTTTAAGGACCACAAAAGGTAATTAAACTGACATAGGTTGTTCATAGCTGACTGACTCTAAACAAAAAGGCCAAAAGGCCACCCCCACTCCCCAATAGGAGTCAAACTTGTATAGTAACTTTGTACAGAGTAGTTTTCAAGTCAATAGTCCGACCAACTTGATTAGGGCTGCTTGTTTTGTCTGTGAACATTCTTTGTTGTGGTTGAGGATGTTTTATTTTTGTACTGTTAAAGCAGATGCAACTGTGGAACCCTATGGATCTTTTGTATCTGATCTCTTCACAAGATGGGGAGATCTTGATATATCCATTGAGTTGGCCAATGCTGCAGATATCTCACCAACTGCCATGAAGAAGCTCAAGGAAATTTTACTTCAAAATGTACTAAACGCATTGAGAAGTACAGGTATAATCTGCCAATTAAATGATGCGTTTCATCTTAACTAAAAAAAGAACTGCTAATTTTGATATGTATATACACCTCTCATGGCATTGTCAAATCTTATAGGTGGATACAAGAAACTGAAGTTGATCTCCAATGCAAGAGTCCCAATCTTGATGTTTTATGGGAAGTACAACATCTCCTGTGATTTATCTGTAAACAATTTGGTTGGTCAGATGAAGTCCAAACTGCTGTACTGGATCAGCTTGATTGATAGACGGTTTCGTGACTTGGTTTTGCTGGTACGTTGGTTCAGTTCTCGACACGCCCCCTCACGTGAACCCACAACTAACCATTATTTATATATATTATGCTCGTCGTGCAGGTCAAGGAATGGGCAAAGACGCACAACATTAACGACTCGAAACGTGGAACTCTCAACTCATATTCTCTCTGCCTGCTTGTCATCTTCCATTTTCAGGTCATTTTGCTTTCACTGCATTATATTCATCTGCTATCTGATCTGAGCATGGAGTATATATACTTTGTGCAGACATGTGAGCCTCTTATTCTACCTCCAATGGAAGAAATATACCCGGGGAATATGGTGGATGATCTTGATGGTATGTGTAGAATTAATGTGCTTTTTCATCTTTTCCTAGTAATAAAAGTTGATGTTTTAGGGGATAACCCCAACCAAGTTGATCAGTCTGTTGGTTTGATAACCACAATGTTCCAAGTGATTTTCTTGGTTTGATCTGATCAATTATGGATAATCTAGACTGGTTTACCTCCTTGTGATCCTTTGTCGGCTTATATCACAAGGCGGGGTTTACTCAATGCGCCATCGAGTAGTGGCTGCGAGTTTCATCTGTTCATCACTTGGAGAATTCTTTTGCAGGTGTGAGGGACATTGCAGAGAAGAATATTGAAGAAAGATGTGCAGTAAACATCAACCAATTTGTGTCTGATAGGCTCAGAGTTCATAACCAAAGTTCTCTTTCTGAACTTTTCATCTCTTTCCTTACTAAGGTAACACTTGAATACAGTCATACTGTAAGCATCTGAAGAATTTGTTGTTCTGAGAATGGTGATGAGAGCTTACTAATGCTTTGGGACTGCAGTTTTCTGACATAAGTTCAAAGGCCTCTAAGCAATGCATCAATCCATACACTGGACAGTGGGAAGACCTTGAAGGCAACATGAGATGGCAGCCTAATAAATATTCACTCATTGTAATA